GACCGATCGTCAAGCCTGATACGAATAAAAGGAAGCAACTAACCTATTCGAAAACATTGCTTCTATGGAAAGTGCCGTCAATGCCAATTTATTATAATGGAGATTCATAGGTTGTTTGTCAAGCCTTGGGTTATGTGTGCAGGGAAGAGAAAGAGGGTTCACAACTTTTGTGGGGGTTTATATCCGGCCGAACCTTCGCACCATGATCATGAATTATGTCATATAGAGGACAGATAAGGCGGATTAAACCCAATTTTCTTTCTCCAATTCATGATCATGAGATTATTGATTACTGGTTTTCCTAGTATTGCGAGCTTAAAGAGCTCACTGAAACCTGATACTAAGGATGAAGCTAAATCTTAATGAAGTCGGGGCGGTTACCGTAACATGAAACAAGACAAGACGGAACCAACCTAATCTTCTCGATGTAATCATGGACATGCAGGAGGAGCTTTGTACCTATCGCCTATTATGTCATTCTCAATTGACGGGAATTATTTAGGAAACATATCATCAGATCGCCGTTTCGTCCTCTTTGGCACAACAAGCCATACCACGTTACTTTTGTATTGATCTTACTATATCATGAAGTGCAGTGTATACCAGCGGGCTAGCATAATGCATGGAATTATGTTGACAGTAGAACCCGTACCCGTAGGTTCGTGACGTTTCCGAACACGACTGCTATTGCATACCATACAAAAAAGCGTCAAATCCACCTTTTTGTGTGTCATGCAATATTGGTCGTGTTCAGAAAAGCTATGAAATTACGAGTACTCGAGAAGAAATCCTGCATTCAAACACCTGTTTTGAGTCGCGATACAGCACTAAGGCTCATAATTAAAGGTCGTACAGGTCACATGTGTATCTTATTGCCCTTCTACTATAGTCTCGTAAAAGCTTGTTATACATGCATGCATGCAAGGGGGTAGGTACAGCTTTTATTTTCAGGGTATGGAGAAGAATATTTCCATAGAACATATTAGTTAGTACCGATTGATTGATATTGTTTAATTGGCGGCGGAGTATTTTCCTTTGCTTTCTTTCGAGCGGGGTTGTTTTAGAACTCCCGTGCGGTGCAGTGCAACACGAGCACAAGAGTGCACTCTTTGGTATTTTATCGTTTATAATGTCTTCTTCTGGAGGGTTGCAATCGAAGCACCACATACAGTACCAGGGAATCAAGATCTAGACACCGGACCCAAGTAATTTATTTACCCGTTTAAGTGAGAAATATTATAATACCCTAGTCTCTGGAGGAATGTAGTAACAACCACATTCTTGTTTCTGACAACATCAATTCATATATTCGGTCGTGTACCCCGAGATCACGTGGCTCCTAGTGGTACAAATCGATCATGGACCAGCCTTGCCTAAACAATTATTATTTCTATTGATTAAGATTCCGAAGAATTTAGTACAGTACTGGAGATTTCGGAGTTATCTCGGTGATGTCAGCCTTACAAAGGCAATAAACCTTTCTACTCTTGATATGGACGGCGAATAGCCAGCCTGAAGCTTTGACTCTTATATATGCTCGGAGAAATGATTATATGAGTATTATGCGGATGATTCCCACAAAATGCGAGATCAAGGATGAATTGGTAGGCTACCTATTCCAGGAAGGTTAGGATTATAGAAAATTCTAGGGATAGGCCAAGGAGCAGGAACTTTGTCTTAGCCAGTGAAATAGAAATGACCGCAGTTTGTAAAATTGAATAATTAACTCATGATCACTCCCGATGTCAAGGTGACATCAACAAGGGTAGGTTAAAAAGATTAGTTGTCCTAGTGGCGTTGAGGTATGGAGCAATGATTTGGAATATTTCCTCTGTGTGCGATCGTTGATATCATTCCTCAAAACCACATGTACGTGCGCTATCAACTTTAAGTGAAGGTACCTATCCGTCATCGCTCACGGACCCATGGTGGGTTTTGAATGATTCAGACTGGGATCGAAATCAAGTTAGTTGCTAATAATATACCATATCCGCTGCCGAATGTGAAAGAAAGACTCGTATTCACGTATCGGAACAATCAATGCTTTAATGAATCACAGATTATCACTCGCTGATAGCAAACAACAGCAGTCTCGCCTATTATTCCTGGGGTCATGCTATGGCTTTTAAAAACGGCCATATCGAGGAGTTTATTAGGGCTGATTGGGTGATCGTAAGCTGACTGACGGTAAATTGTTGCACAAAGGCAGATCAACCGTCAATGTGAAAAGAATAACCTATGCGGCCGTCCGTATCGACACGTGCACGAGGATGGGCCTTAAAATATATGTTAGATCACGCCTAGAAATTAGCTTAATACCATTAAAGACAAAATTTAACCTTAAACACAGGTTCACGAGTAGACAAAAAGGACAAAGAAAAGCCCGCGATACGTCCAGGTGGGCACGGGCTCGCCTTCTGAGGAACCAATGGGCTTATTAATTTCAGCAACCCTAGGTCTCACCTAATTAGATTTTTTATATTAACACTCTATTATGTGGACATAATGGTTTTCGATATAGTGTGGATGTGTAAAGATCGCCAACGCAGGCCCTCAACATTGGATGGATCGTGGAGAAGCAGATGCCAAGATGCAATAGTTGCTATCAATAGTAACACACATACAGCCAGGTCCGTATTACTCGCGCCAAGAAACATTCTCTACAAAGTGCGAAAGTATGCGATACTAGTACATTCTTCAAAGAAGCGCACAAGATTAATAGAGTCCGCTTGAATGTGTCAACTTGATTACTGAGAGACAAAAGCGATTGATCTGGACCTACTAAACCTTCAAGTTACCCAATGTAAACTACAAGTACTGAAGAGTAGTAAATGCTACAGGCAGATTCCCGAGTGTAACACTGATTTAGTGATTTTTTTCTAAAGGTGAAAGCAGTGGATATGCATATGACAGTATATGCCTTTGCGAAGAAGCTTCTGGTATGCGTCCAATCACCTTACCGTTCAGTACCTGTTGAATGGCGGGGAAGATAAGTACCAACTCAACTTCCTCGGGATTGTCCCGACGGTAGTGTGCCAGCGGTACCTCGCCTGATCTCAATAGAAGCTTAAATTTAGCATAGAAGTGGTTATGTGGTTGTACACAGGTCTCATTGGCCTTTGGATGGAGATACCAGAATACGGGGTAAGCGAATGATGAGCGAAACCCCAGAAGTTCCGTACGGAACTATCCGTTTGAGCTATTACACGCCTACAAATCAAGTAAAAGTGCCCTACCACCTTAATATTTACGTCCGAGAACGTAATTAACTCGAGTACTAATATTAGGTTTACAGAGATCGTACTCGCAACTGCAGGTATTTGGTACCCGAAAATGCAACCCACTCATATGAAATTGCTAGATCTACTGGTTTTCCAATGAAAAAAATACACCTCAGAGCCGCATTTTCTGTTACCTATTGGCTGTCGCGAAAATAAAACGATCGGTTCCCATCTGTGGCTTTCTGCCAAGAGATACAGAACTTCAGGTACCTTTTAGTTCCATGGAGCAACCTAGCACACCCAAATAGATGCGGGTTGAGGTAAATGTAGTCATATCGTTCTCGTAGTATTGCAATTGAGTTGTCTTTTTGGGTGCATCAAAGTGTCCTTTGCTTCCGTGTAAAAGTGCAACAACAGGCACTATTTTCTAAGATAGTAGTACGGCAGCTGAAAGAGAGAAAATAAAAAGATGTTGTGGGTATTCAAGGGCAAAGATTGAGTGATGGTGAGCATCGCGCGGAGAGGAAGCAAAGCTTCTCGAATATTAGGAGTAGTATAACCTGGCTCATGTGATAACTGTGACCAATATAGGAAACCCGTGAAGATTATTACCATGAAACGAGCCCTATCAATATGATAAAAACGCCTTACCATGATACAGAAATAGACTTCACCACATGTGATATGCCTATAAGCTGAACCTGCTTCACAAAGCATCACTCTGGTGCACATGATGATCGTGTCACGATGGATGGAACACTCGAAAGGCCTCCTTTATACACACAAGATCCTCTGAAAGACAGCACTAGCTAGTAGTACTTGTTCTAGGCTTGCTGGGAAGTAGTCTTATTTCTTCGCGAGCGATATGTTTAGCCATTAGAGGCTACTGACAAAGGAACTGAAGGTAAGCTGGACACGTCAGAAAAAGAGCTTAATGCAAACTTGTAGCGTCATTGAGCTTCGATGGTGGGTGATACGGTGCGATGAGTGAAGGCCCATCGCAGCAATCCATATGTCATCGGGCAAAGCAGTGTGTTACCAATTGGAATAGTGTTTCCTGGCCTAGTGACGTTGATTGAAATTAGAATTCAATCTTCGGCGTACTAATTCTTCTGAATGGTGAAGGATAACTATACAGAAGTTCCCCAATGAGAGAATTCGCAGTACTCAAATGAGTGTATTAAAAACTTTAGGCCAACCATCAATTTTGAAAAATGCTGGTTGCAAAATTGATGGCTGCGGGGAGAAAAATTGATGGTTCCATGTCGATCCCCATAAAAAAATGGGTTCAAAACTGCTAGTTGCGGGAACCGTTGTGCTGGGTGGCAAATAGCATTTTTCGAAGTTGATCGTTGGCCTAAGGTTTCTATTAACAGGTTTAGACATCGCCCGGATAGCATGTACGATGTCGATTAATCTTGAGTCCGAATTTCGGGTACCTCAAGAAGCCTAAATCTGATTGGTTTACTAGTACGAGGCTATTTTCATGATTATTAGCTGTTTCCAGTGGTGTGGAGTAGAAGAAATTTACCGACAGGAATCAGGCGCAACCTCTCGTGCATTTTTGCCCCACCCCGATAGAGATCGAGCCTCTGGTGACCTCGACAGAGTTGACCGTGGTCCCTTGAATATACTCATATCATAGAATATTCACCTTGATAGTCGTGAGAAATAGTATATAAAGACCTCCGAGAACCCTCAATTGATATCCAGACAACCAGCCCTCAACTGAGTATTGCAGACCCAACATCTACAACTTCAACAACAGAGACATTCAAGATGGCACGTTACTCCTCTTTCTTCTCCTACCTCCTACTTATCTTCCTCATCGGAATCTACACCACCCAAGCCTTGAGCGTCGGCAACGAAGGAGATTTTGGTAAGTAACTTTCAGTTCCATACTATACCGTGGACAATACTGATATTGATCCCCATCCACAGAGAAAAGGCAAAGTTGCCCGTACGATCAGAAATGTGGATACGCATGCTGCAAGCCCGACGAGAAGTGCGAATACAACAAGTGCGTTCCCAAGCCACCAAAGTGCGATACCTACCATGGCGAGTTCGTGTGCGGAAAGTTCTGCTGCAAGAAAAACGAGGAGTGCAAAGACTACAAATGTGTTCCCAAGCAACAATGCGACTATGGCGAAACAATCTGCGGAAAGAATTGCTGCAAGAAGGACGAGAAATGCGACTACGGCGTGTGCAAGAAGAACGTAAGATTTACGCTCTAATAAACTAGCAAAACTCCCAATGAACCCTTTACTGACCTGTGACTTTCAAGACTTGATACCTGCTGTCCAACTGGGCAGATTCTCTGCTCCGGAAAGTGCTGCGCTGGAAAATGCGAGTATGGTATCTGCAAGGGTGTTTACCGTTACTTCTAAGTTTTGGGAGTAATACGGGGTCCGGTTTTTCTTTGAACAATGTTCATTACTAGTCTGTCTCTTTCGTTGATCGCTATCGGGTAACTTCAGGTGGTTGGAAATTTCCTTATAACGCTCACTGGTTTTCGTTGTACGGTCGAAAGAAATGAACATTTTAACGGTGACTATCCGAAGTTCATTGTAGACTCATTGATATTCTTCTCCCATTGGCTCTGACATTAGAGCTTCTTTCGGGATGAACTATTCCCGATCCAAAAGATAGCATAGGTAAAGGTGAACAGTTGGCGATGACGCGATCCACTAGGAAGTTTATCGTACGTGTGGGGAGATAATTTCTGCAGAAATGATCTGATAACCTTTGGATGCCATTTGATTTGATTTTGAATTTCTAGGTGATAACGAAACTCATGAAATGGAATTAAATACGCCTGGAGTGAGCAGTGTTAGAGATTATTTAAGAAGATATCGAAACGAAGTAGAGAGGTAAAGGGGCTGAGCATCCTCTTACAAGAGAGGTTTATTATAAATTGTGGGTTGCACATTGATGTCGTTTTTTCCTCAGCTATGGCGTTATCTTTACTCTCGTTTCCGCAATCTCATCGACTCTACAGCGGGAGTCGGGTCGTGGTCTTTTAAAAGCTGGAAGGCTCTGGCACAACACAGAAAGAACGCATACGCGTCCTTCGCAGATCCAAGCCAATTCTAGGGCATCTCCCGCATTGAGAACCCGCTACATAATGAAGGCTGTACTTCAATATGATCATCAGAGCAAATATAGCAGATCTCTCGGATTCACAGCTGCAGTTCTCATATGTGGTCTTCTGGGCGATGTAAGGACTAATCCCCGGCCTTCATTCTTGCTGTATCGTCCAAATTGAAGCCGTGAGCGTCTCAACATCTCCAACTTACCATGAAATCTTGGAGGTGGTTAATGCCTTCGTGACAGGACTAGCGGTTTTATGCAGGCACTGGTTCTAAATGCCAAGAGATCAGTATTCATCATGATAAGATGCGATAAGATAACACTTAGATATTACCGCCCAGGGATGGCAAGCGTACAGACACCTAAGCTTCCTGTGGCCGATAAAACACGTAATACAACACAAAAATCACATGAGTGCAGTCTTCAGCCATATGTCTATAGAAAGGTACATGTAGTTTTCAAGAGAAAAAGTATTCCATTTGGCATCGATCGGGACGGAAATATCTTGGCCACACACGTCCACCGCCTACGAACCCGAAACCAAGCAAGAATATCCCAGCAGACGAAACCACGGCCATAGAACTTGACCAAGTCAGCCAAAAGTACCCCCCAAACCCATATGTATGCTCAATGGACAAAAAAACACCGGCAGGTAAAGGTGCAATCACAGGTTCTCACTCGATAAGAAGGGTCCTAGCATAAGCCTACGGTATATTGCTAGAACAAAGGAATCTATAAATAATCGTATTATGAGTCAGACTGAACAGTTAGAATATGAAGATATAGGAAGGGAAGGACTCCATAGCGAAACGGGCTTATAAATCACAAAATATCACTCGGTATCCAAAAAGATTGCCTTCAAGAAATAAAATGGAAGTCTCAATTGTACCGGTTAAAACCTGACTGTAATCCCATATCTACACCCAAGATACATGCCGGTAATAGGACCCCATCACACACCACTTCCTGCCATAAATTAACCTCGGGAAATAGTCTCATCTATAGGTAATTCCTCTGTAGATCCAATTTACACACGAGAAGTTAATTAGCCCCGGGGCAAGAGGCTAAACTCAATATGTTGCTTGGTATACGTAAGGAGATAGACTTTCATGCTTAAGGTTAGTTTTCTGGCTCAGAAGCCATAAATCATCCCCTGTTGCTCGGTTCATGGCTTTCAACTCTTCATGTGCAGTTTGGGTCTGGTAGGTGGCCGATTCTCCAGAAATGAATTGTATGACTCCTATGTGTATATTCATTCCATTTTACCCCTTACCCCTATATGTATTCGATACCTGGGATCGTATGCTAGAACAATGCTTCACAGGGTGATATTGCGGGGGGATTATAATTCACACGGTGTCGTATCTATCAATCGTGTTAGGACAGTGAAAGACTCTAATGGTAACTGTGGGTGGAGCTGAGTTACCTATCAAAAATTTCTCATGTATTGCTTGCTGTACTCGCAATCATCCAGTCTCTTTGTCTTGATGCCAGTTTCGAGATATGCCAGCAGAACATAAGTCTGTCAAAACAAAGCCAGATCCCACGAGATATTACTGGGAAACAGGAACCCGCCTTGCCATCAAACACACCTCACCAGCGCAAGACTCGCCGCCGTAATCCTACTCCCAGCTTGTCATACAACCAAGAGGTAGCGCCGGACAATCAAAACCTAACCGGACAATCTGGAACCCGCTCTTCCTCCGCCATCGGTTTTATACACAACCGGAGGAACCTCATATCGCGAAGGGTAGGCCTGTATGTTCTGCAGCGTGTCGTGGAGCTGGTGGTCATGCCGGATTTAGAACAGGACTTATCTTAGACTGTAGGGGGCTCGAGATATATAGTGCGGAGCTTGGTCGATTGACGGAGATATCCTCACTCAGGATCGAGCTAGTACGTACGTTAGGCCGCGCATTAGTATTTCTCCTATATTCCGGTGTTATCGTAGATAGTAAGGCTAGGTAGGGGGGTGGATATGAAGGTTAGCGGAGGGGAAAAATGGCCGGCATGATGAGTCGGAGGCTTGGATAAAGAGAGGTTTGATACGGTAGATTTTTCGGGAGATATGAACGCAGGACGTCGACGCGGTGGATGGGCGTACGTACACCTGATATCCCAGATCCCGGTTGTCCTGATCTTAAAAGAAAAAAAAGTTGCGTTGAGATCAAATCTACGTATACATGCACGCCTAAAAATCCGAGCTTGAGTCTTTCCAACTTCCCACATAAGCCTAACTCTAAGACCAATCAATATAACCCTAGCCCTGACATAGTCTAGCCCACTAGTAGTTAGTGTTGATGTGGGATCACACTCATAGCACCGACGTGATATAAGAGGAGATGACCCCCCCCGCCTCTCTCTCCCCCTTCCACCTTCAATCACATTCGGATAGCGAGAAACCATCCAGCGACATAAACAACTATACATGCGGCCACGCGTTTCTCTAGATGCTATTCTATCAATATCATTCAGATATCGTGAACGGTGAACCTGAAATGACGATTCGTATGAGATTGTTTCTTTTAATTTATTTCAATACCATCGTGTCCTGGATGTACTTCTACGTACAGTCGCTTCATATTTAGAGCAACGACGAAACTGGCCGAACAACGAATAGGTACTTTTGGCAGCCAAAAGTGTAACACCCAGGTCGACGATATCTAACCAAGCGATTGGCTGAAATTACACAAGTATTTATGCTCAAGGTTCTTGGTTGGTCATCGAGGGGTAACTGTGCTGGTGCCAGTCATATTAGGAGATTTTAACAGTAACAGTGGATAAAATATTGCGCAGAGGCATATCTAGGTCCAGAAGAAAAAATATTAGAACCCGGGCTAGGCCGCCTTGATTTGGATCGTTCCAGACACAGATCATAAACTTGTTCTGTCTCGTTTACAAAGTTCGTTAAGATCAGCAGGTCAACACGTTTGTTGTTGTTACACACCGGTACCTTTAAACTTTTATCGGGAATATCAGGAACTTTTATTGGTACCAGAGAGTAGGCTAATTGATCGGCGTCTGTAATGACACCAATAACATAGGAAAACCAGGCTATAGAAAACATTCTCTGCCAAGGAAATAAACCCAGAATGATATACGGAAAGACGTACTATCTGGATGGGATATTCTAGGCTATGGCGATGGAGATATTTGGGTCCGATGCATCCGTTCTATCTTCCGGGTTTGAAGAGAGGCCTTGCGGATTCTCTTTAGAGACTGGTATCGAGTGTGATAGAGTGACAGCTTGATCAGGTGGTGATGAATCCTTCCCTGAGTCATCTCCCTGATTGGGGGAGACGTCTTGATCACCATACTCTGACTTACTCCCGTTTTCGAGGCTCACCTCAATCAGGTCACCCATACCCCTCTCTTCTTCGTCGTCCTCAATATCAGTGCCATAGTCATCATCATCATCGCTAGCTTCCTCATTCACCTTCGGTCCCCTCCATCCCCACAACGCTTTCCATCGTGTCTTCTCACCGAGGGATGGTAGGCCGACATCTCGACTGAATAATCTTCTGAACTTGACCTTACGGTAGCAAACACCAACGATCTGCTCGCCAGCTGATTCCAGAAGGCTCATGCGGCCAATATCGTGATCACTAGTGCGTTGGACAGCGGTGACAGTGCTCAACATCGTGTTCAATCGTTCGAGGGCGCCTCCCGTGGGAAGAGCCGGTGCATTCGCGATACCGCTCCCTGTTCTCCCGTAATTTTCGAATGTCTTAAGCTTCGCATCGGTGACGATAAAAAATCCGACAAGCATGAACACATCATCTTTATCGTTCAGTCTCCGCTGGAGCCAGATGCGCGTACTTTCTGTCCCACATGCATTGTGGAACCAGGTGCTGTGGTTTCGGAGGTGGTGAGTTATTACGAGCCGAGTTTTCAGTTCAAAGCCCGTTTTACTCTGCCGCTCCTGTGAGATGGAGAGGAGTTCAGTGAGGCAAGAGGTAAATCTCGAGGTTTTAGAGGATTTGTTGTTTATGCTGTATTCGCCCTGGTCCTTTGTTTCGTATTCGTCTTGAGATGGACGGCCAGGGAAGGGCTCGTGGACTTCTTGATAGAGATTCTCAGTATTGGTTACTAGGCAACCCAGACGGAGCGACAGGGGCGAGGGAAAGTTTGGTAGGGGAAAGGAGCCTGAAGACATGAGAATAATATCTATGTCTAAAAGAATAGGTTGATCTTGAAAGTGGAAGAGAAGATGAATTCACAGGATACCAACAGTGTTAATAAATGCGGGGTAAGTATATTGGTTTTCTGCGTTCTCTCACCCCCCAACCTCCGAAGTAGTGTAAGGCTGTTAATATTTTGAGATGAGAATAGAATTAATGCACTTGAGCGGCGCTGGACTAGCTGGATGATTCGAAATGATAGGTTTAGTTTGTAAGCAACATACATCGTATACGTAATTTATGGCATTCCAATGTAGGCAATATCCATTCCAACTACATATATATCTAATGATTAGATCTATCGCCTAAACCCAACTTGAGGCAAGCAGGTTGACATATGTATGTATCCTAGAGTTCCTTGAGCGGTGAGTCTTATCAGTAATGCATATATATAGATACATGGCCTTAACATGTGACAAGCGCGCGCCAAGCTTCGTTGCATGCCTTAATTCAAGTCAGTCATATTTAAACCGCCAGCTTTCTCAACTTGTAAAGTAACCTGAATTGATACTCAAGAAAAACTTTTAATCACCAAATCATCCTCTCGTTAAACAAAATACCTTCATCCATGGTAACATATCCGTTAGCCTATCGATTCCGAAGATCTTGCGTCGAGGCGAGAAGACGTGGAATTCTGAGTTGGCAAGAGGCCAGAATTAAGTTGATAGTAAGTGCACACCCTTTGACAATCAATGGGCGCCCATGTTATAGGGTCTTCAGCGTTTATCGACAAAAAAAAAAAACTGATAAGCTGTGGAGTTCCGATAGATCACGAGGCCTTTGAGTGGCGACTTAGCTGGACAAACGGTTTCTCTAGATCTGCTCGTATGCTACAGACGGCATTATATAATAATTTGTGGGATCCCATACCCCAGCCCCATATCCCATATCCCATATCATAATCACATCCTCACTATACACGCTTAGATAAAGAGCGCAATCAGTTATAAAGCAGAGTCGCTAAGATGCATACATGTATGTGTAAAAATTGCATGCAGTACGTATATTAAAATCTTAGAATACTAGAGGATGTTGACATGTTCTAGGGAGGCTCTGGAAGCTTTACTACGCGGAGACACTTCGGAGTGTAGAGTTGACAAGGATCTTATCTTGCTTTATGAAAGCTTCAGAAGTACGCAGGAGCTCAAATATCTTGATATCGCCGTTGAACTTGTTGAAACATCTCGTGCAGCGGATTCATCGAATCGTATCTTGGGACTTGAACACCTGTTATCGCATCTACAAAGTTTGAGATCTGGATCAAGAGTTGTTTTCCTGACCATTGCGATCTCCCCATGTATAATGACCACCGATGTATGCGGAGAGGCAGCACAATCGGCTATCACCAGCGAAAGCCTGGTGGACACATACACGCTCAAATGGGATCAATTGGAAATCTTTCTGTTTCCTGGATTTGAACGGTTAAAGGAAGCAGAACTCTTAGAGATATCGCACAGCGCCATTCAAAAAGAACTCTCAAACTTACCTATAGGGCATCACGATCGGCGCAGGCTATTACTTCACATGGGGCTACACTTTTATCAAAGATATGATCGGTCGGGAAACCCCGAAGATTTATGGAAATCAATTGAATATACGGAAGAAGCAGACAGAGTCGAATCCTGCTCCTGCTACTACGTACTGCCGGATCTAGGCCACTACCTCTCAGATAGTTATAAACGTTTGCGTATTAACGAAGATATTACGGCCGTAGTTTATCTCGCCAAGTTGAAATTTTCGGAATTACCTGTTGGGCACCCCGATCGGGAAGACGCGCTTGAAAGATTACAAGCCAATCTTTTTCATAAGTATAAAAAATACGGAAAGCTCCTTGATCTAAACAATGCTATCAAGATAGGCGAGGAGGAACTGGCGATTATTTCTACAGATGACCCTAGGCATTGGGCTCGTTTATCTAGCTTGGCTTCACTCCTCGAGGCTAGATATAGCCACGACGATATAGGTGCTCTTGAGGATCTTGATCAGGCGTTAGAGTTCACCATTGAGGCAATCAAGAAAGCACCGAAAGATGACCCTGAGCTATACATACATGAATACTCCCGAAAATCTGGACTCCTTAAACTAAGATATCCAGCTTTACGGGACCCCCAAGACCTTGAGGATGCCATCGACCAGGGTCCCGGAGCGCTCGAGGAAGTAGTACCTAAACACGCTCGATGGGCGTTCTTCCTTTCCCTAGTTTTTAAAACGCCAAATGATTTCGAGGACTACGTAAGGGTTGTTAAATATGGTGATAGATTCGAGGTTCGAGACCTAGCTAAAATTCCTGGATAAGCGTGGTCAATCGGTCCATTTCTCCGCTATGTCATATCATTTGGGAAAAAGATATGAAGCCTCAGAATCCTTGGATGATCTAGACAATGCTATTGAAATGTCAATCATGGCACTTGAGGCGACACGACTCGCTGGCGACGATGCGGCGCCTACCTTGATCCAACTTAGCTCCCAACTGGGGTCTCGGTTTGACAAGTCCAACGCATTGGAAGATCTAGAGAAGGCTATAGCACGAGCTAAGGAGGCAGTTGTAGCGATAGATGGAAGATCGCCTAAGAGCTTGCGGAATATGTTACACGATTTGTCTATTTTACTTTTCGCCAGGTATACTCGACTCGATAACCTAGGAGATTTGGACGATTCAATAGAGTACCAGCGCCAGGCACTGGAAGACGTTATACCGATATGCGCATGTCTATAATGTACTGTCTCTATTTTTTCTATTATTGGAACGGTCTGATTGGCTGCTGAGTGCAGGGATGTTGATTAGTCAGCACGACACATCAAAGTACTGAGCACTCACGAGAGGAGGAGGATGGAGCCGAAGGCCCCTCATGATTGTAGAGGGAGAATTAAATTTTATTTGATACCCATAACTCAACGTACAACTCGCGGTCGCGAGTTGGCACACCCCTAGTAAAGATTGTACTATCTTCCGTTGCAGTCTACTAAGGTCCCTCGCTAAATTGTTGCAGATTAGATATGACAGAACGGAGACCACAGCAGATTTGGAGGAATCGGTCAGTTGCGCCGAGCAAGCTTACGCCCAGGCAAACCATGATAATGCCGAGCGACTACGTTGCCTACTGTTACGAAGTGATATCTTAGCATGGAAATACAAAAGATTTAAAGAACCGGACGACCTAGAGCGTTGCTTGGATGGATAACAAAGCTCACCGGTCCACCCCCTATCTCTTCTGGGTAAAATATGCACCGAGTGATAACTCATGACCAATTCAACCACCCCGAAACACGATTTGAAACACCAGATAGATGTGCAACTGTTTCTCTAACTCGGCTTCCCAAAGCACCTCTGTGGTGCCGGTCGGGCTAAACCTACCCTATGCCTATTTCCTCTTCAAACTTGACCTTCGCACCAAAGGTATTCCAACCCCCCAAAATAAGAAAGTCGAAATTCTAAAGCAGCCAATCGGTAGGCAATCAATCACAAGGACTACAGATTCACTATTCCGATTTTCCCTTTTTTTGATTTTTGGAGGTGTAGATAGATTCACAAATCGTAGGTGTTCCAGGCCTAATATTGGCCGCTACCAAAAACCACCTCAAAATCAAAACCACCCCCCAGAACTCTATGTAGTTTGCACTCACACTTCTTCGTGAAGTCCGGCGGTTTATTGGTACAGGACTGAAACCACAATATGGGCACGAAAGACCCGGCCTCCCGTCTGAGCTATTGGCCGCCAGGGGAGGTTTAGCCTAGTAATGATCAGCGCGTATAATGACCCCAAAGCCCGCCCGCGTAATAAAGATGCGGATATACACTTGGGCGGGGCATTGCCGTTGTTTCGGGCTTCAGCGGAGGGAAGATTTGGGTTAGGGTTGGATCGTGCGGCGATCGAACTGTAACCTGTGCTGTTCTTGCTTTTATGCGCTGGAGCATCTCCACTAGGTATCGGGAAGGTGCTGTGTTTGGAAGTTGCAGTGAGAAAGGCCCCATGCTTTCAGCCTCATGATCGACGTGCAGCGTAGCCCGCACTCGGGAGAGGAGCCGAGGGAACGGCTAGATCTCATCGTGCACGGTGCCGTCTAGCTTAATACACTCTCCGAATTCCAGAACATTCATTCAGCAGACCACCATCAAGTAACGTACATCTCTCAGCGAAAAGGCTCTCCGCTGCTAGCTATTCAACATATTCGGCACTAGGGGAGGAGGTGTGTGTGCTACGAGAAGATAGGGCTCGGTGTCCGCTGTGGGTGGGTGGGTGGGTGGGTTGATCTGGCATCGGTGTTTGGTGCGGCGGGCCCTACTCCTGTAAGATACACTTAGGGTACTCTAGACTAATCCTCACCTCCGGCAGATGATCCCACGACGAACAGCATAACGGCAAAGACGGATTCTATATTCATACGCGTAAAACGATGGAGATGCTGGTGCAGAGGACGTGTTAAATGAGTCTACTTTGCGTATTCTTTGAAATATCGGTAAGATTGGAAGCAACTCAGCCCTGCGCGCAGCCTCCAGATCGAAACTCCACAAGGAAAGAATCTTGCTAACGGCAGTGCACGATCGTGTGCTCTTTCTCCGCGGGTTACGAGCAGAGAGATAGCGGTACAATATCCACGCATATACCGCCCCCACAAGAAATACGCTGCTGTATACAGTGGGGGTCCATACTATCTCCTCTGCCTACAACCCCGGCCGGCGCAGCAGGGCGATAAGGATCATGCATCATCACTCGCTGGTCTTGGCATTTATTTGTTTGCGAGAGCGATCTACGCGCCTGGTTCTTGGCGTTTTATACCGCTTATATAGCAATTGAAACTGTGGAGTAACGCCCGTCGCGCGCACTTATCTATGTTTTGATATACATAGTGCATAGGATTAATTAAGGGAGCTCCACACTAGTTGCTGAGCACATACATGGGAAGGGCCGGGGCTATATTTCTCGCCATACACTAGCTCCACACCGCGGGACGCTGGGTTCAAGAGTCCCGATTTATTATAACTACAGTCTTAAATGCCTAAAGATCCTCAGATTGGTATATGTGAAGCGCTCAAAAGGCCTCTTTACCTATTCCGGTGGCAGCAGGGGCACATCATAGAATATCACTCGGTCAAATCTACCTGTGCTATGGACTCCACCCGCGTTCACATGACACGCAACGGGCCTAATGGCTCAATGGCTATATCAATTTTTTCGCGCGTAGCTGTTGCACTCGTGTGCAGGTGTCTGGCCGCCGAGATAAGCGGGTGCTATGCATGGGGGTCACAAAAGGCCAAAGTTCCCAGGAATTTTGGCGTTTATTATAGTTGAGTTAATGAAAATTGGCGAAGAAGGGTAAGAAGATATCTCGCAACTAATGTGACCACGTTGCCATGTCGAGCTAGCCGTTGAGCCCCACCGCCGACTACATACAAATCTATTCAAGGGAAGCATGTACTACAACAATCAATGTACTGAATACATCCACATGCCATGTCGACAAAACCAGTACGCTTCTACACGTATGACGCTGTGTCTAATCTTTTCCCGCATCAATTCCTCGGTCTATATGCCAAAGTCTAGCTGATAGAAATAGTCACTTTTTAACCTCGTTGGACTGTCTATCATATTTCGAGTTAAACGTGTATACTAAGTAACTCAATACTATTAAACTGCTCAGGCTTTCGTTTCTACCAGGATGCGCCGATATACAGCCGGTTTGTTACGGTCATGATATGTCACTCGTGATCCGAGTGATAATACATGACCCAGATCATCCATTCACCCTATTTTCTTTTAATCGCCTCGACCTCAACTCCGCGGTGTATACCCATCCCCACAACCTAAACTTCTGAAAGGTAAAAACGTAATATTGGTCGGACACATGTAGAAGATGTGTTATATACATCAAGGATCTATGGGGTTATTATCCTGTAGTATATCGCAGGCATCTCACCGAGGGTAAGCAAAATCCACCATCGATCCTACAAGCCGCAGCTCTGATACATATTATATGCACCAGGGCTATCCACCAACAGTAGTAGTAAGGAGGTTTCTTCGGTATCACTCGAAGACACCCGGGCCCCCTAGGGTTATAGGATATCACAAGTGGCTCCAAGATTGAAGATAGGCATAATGCCGGTATCATAGCAAACATTGCTTCTTGCACTAAATATGGTATTACAAATGTTGATCCTCCGTTATCGTTAATAGTTCCATGAAGAGCCATGAAAGTAAAAAGTACATGCAGAAACATACATTAAGGACAGGTAGTGACATCGGTAGGGAAATGAAAATTCTGCTAATCTATACCCATATATACCTACGAACCCAACTGTTACTTATCGTCGAGGGACGGTAGGAGATTTCTTGCTACCGATAGTAAAATCAAATTTGGCTCCGGGATCTGGGGTTTGACCTGAAGTGCGAGTCGGACGGTGCACAGTACTCCAGAGAAGCTGCGACGGTGCTTTATAGTTCTCCCAGACGTGCTGACGAAGGTAACTATAGTATTTGCTTGGGGGAAGTAAGGGTGAGGCGTAATAACCATCATAGTGTGTGGAGATAACCACCAACACCGAAGGAAAGCGATCACCGCTCTCGTCATCTATTAGGTAATCGCGGAATGCGCGGAGAGGTTCCTGCAGGGATAGTCTGATTTCAGGGCTGTCATGGTATCGCACGTGACGATGTTTCTCTGGGTCTCGTACAACCCCTTCATCGTTACATCCCGTGTGGCACGAACCACCTACTAGCTCCCACCGGCTCTCACCCATCTCGCCACCTCCTTTCTCCCACCCCCCTCTTCGGTGGGATCTGCTTCCCAAGTGTGACCCATCCACGACTCCCAGTCAAAGTACTTCATGTGGCGCTGGGCCATACAAAAGTGACCATACTTGTCCCAAAAGATGGCGCCAAAACAATCTTGCTTCACAATCTCTTTCACGCAGTCCTTCCGCCCGCAACGTGCCGCCGAATACAGAGGATGGTCTTCTCCAAGGATAGAGCTCACGCCAATAGCACTACACAGGGAGATGAGCTGCTGCAATAGACTCACATGCTCACCAGCTGCGGCTGCGTGCACAGCGCTCCCATTATACTTAGGTCCCATCGACGTTATCTCAGCACCGTTGTCAAGGAGCAGTTGCACCGCTGCCATTTTTCCCTTAAAAGCCGCGACCTCCAACGGGGTTCTGCCATAATGCATGCTCGGCCAAGCAACGGCATTTACATCGGCTCCAAGAGCAATAAGCCGCCGCACAATTCCAGTATACCCACCTACTTCTGCTATATGCAAGGGTGTTTCCCCTAATTCCCCTAATGAAAGTGGCTCAGGCGGCACGCGGCGAGAATGATTCATTAATACAGGTAAGGGGAATGGGCCTTTGACCTTGGCACCATTAGCGAGAAGAAGACTGACGACCTGCTCACTACCGCCGTCATAAATCATGGACAATATCGCATGCTGAAGTAGGTTTTGGTTTTTCATTTGGAAGAATATCCCCGAGTCCTGGGTGTCATTGTAACGGCGCGCCCGAACCCAGGTGGCGCCTTGCGAATTACAATCGGCGCCATTGTCAATAAGAGCCCTAACAGTTGCCAGACTTCCCACCTGAATAGCCATGAACATAGGGTCAGAACAGCGGCTACAGGTTGTTGCGCCATTGTCAAGGAGTAGTTTTATTATAGAATCCCGGCCATACGCAGCTGCCAACATCAAGAAATCCACTTCGGTATTGATGTGGTAATCCAAATCAGCGCCATGCTTAGTGAGATCAGGAATCTCCTGTACGTTATTCGTAGAGATCGCTACGGCAAGAGTTTTTGAAAGGTCTCATCGCGATTGAGCTTCGACGAATTAAAATAGTAATCAACGTCGGATGCTGACGCCTGTGAACAATATTCAATGTCGGAAGTCCACCCGTGACGTAAGCAAATTGCTAGTGGGTACGCTATAGAGAAATCGTTTCGAACTAAAATCTCGCCATTCAAAGACATTGGGGAAACAGGTAACAGGGAACGATCCTTCAAAATGTCATGCCATGCTACAAACTTCATTGACTCGGGCCAGTTAAATGCGGCGAGCTGGCCACTTCCCCCCACGTCCGCCAATGATGCATGCGTTGGCCATTCATGTGCCGCATATTTTAAAAATGGAGTGAGATTTTGTTCATAACAGGCGGTGAAGTCGGGATAGGTTACGGCGGTAATACATACACGGGCAAGATATCTTTGGGCCTCGCAAGAGTCGATCCGCGGCGTGGGGTTAGTTTCGTCGGTTGAAACCAGATACTCCTTTACTGACTGATAAATGAGTTGAATCACCATATCTGACTCCTCGGCTTCCGCTTCCGACTCCTCGGCTTCCGACTCCTCGTTTTCGACTGCTCGATTCCAAAATCCTCGGTTTTCGACTGCTCGATTCCAAAATCCTCGTCGGCATCCAACCAGCTGTATCTGTCGCTGGGCGTTCTGACGACCTCGACAAGCCCACAGCATAATCTCCTTATACGCGCCTCCATTTGACTCAGTTCGGGGATAGAGCCTGAGCGATAGTCACGGATGGACGCCAGCGAAGCATATTTGGTTGAGGAGTCGATAGCAAGTGCCCAGCGTAATTCGGAAAGAGTGAGGGGTCTTTCTGCTAGTAGGGCCCATTGTAATATTTTTTTGGTTTCGGCTCTGTCCCTCTTTTTTTCTAGCTCCCGAAATATTCGACCATAAACGCCTTTGAGATCTTCTGGGATTCCACTCAACACTCGTTCTAGTTCCAGAAAAGTGCTGCCATGTGCCATGTCTCTCAGCTCGGTCAAGACAAGCCTTGCCCAAAGGAAAACTCCTTGGGCACGCCCAATCATTGATTTCGCAAGCGCACTCACATCCTTCAGGGGATGATCGAGACCCAAGCTCACAAATTCGCTGTTGATGTAGCTCTCAATATCTGGACCGTTCTTTTCTTCGAGCTTTATGATGGCGAAGAGCTTCATGTATCTACTGAATCTGTCATCGGGGCGGCTCGTGAGAAAAATCCGAGTAGTTAACTCAAGCTTCTAAAGTTTGTCATGAATAAAGTCCAAGAGGGTGAACTTGGATGTATTCTGACATTCATCTATGGCATCTGTTCCATGTTAGCCTGAGACTATGATTTCTGTGAGGGATAAGGCACCTATAACTATTCGGATTGAGCTCACATAGGAACTTCCAATCATCGATATGAGCATCTTCTTGATAGCTTCAGTATGCCATAATACCTCCGCATGCTGCTCTTTCCTAAGTTTGTACTCAGGAAGGATGTAGTCAGACAATGCCGGTATTTGTTTCAAGAGTTGATGTTGAAGTGAGCGCAAACACCCTGCCTCTGACTTATCCAGATCACCGCCTCGGTCGCTGAAGAAAAAACTGAGGGTCGCTTCACCTGGCTTTTTATTCATATGCTGCGTCGTTTGGTTCAAGCGCCCAAGGATGTGTTTCGAGAGTGTCGATTTCCCGATCCGGCCTTTCCCAAGATCCATACGCAATTAACCTCAGATTCAAACCAGCCGGAAATGGAGGGATCTGTGTCTAACCAGCCCAGGGTAGATTTGTGTGATTTTTCGATCGCTGCGCGGCGATTCCCCGAGCCTGGATAATCAAGAGTTTTCAAGCAATCTTTATATTCGGGCGTTATGTACAAAGGTTCTGAGGCCAACTACAAGTCAGCAAACCTTTCCGAAGGTTGGCCTGAAATATAAGGGGCTTCCAACTAACCGCTTTTGATTTTTTCCACTATTCTTTTAATTTCGCTTAATACTAATTTGTAGTTCTCATCTTGTAGCGTGGCATATTTATTCATTCCAACATGGTTGGATTCTAAAGGCAAGTTTGCCGTACTGGCAAAGGTGCTGGAATTCCTGTCTACCGCCTGGTATACGGTCAATTACAGGCCAACATTTCAAGTTGAGGGGAGGTTTTGAATCACTTACTAGCAGCAACGGGAATTGCCCCATTCTTGTCATATGCCTTTCGAAAAAGTTGATAAGATCTCGCCTGCCGTATCCCTGGAGAAACGAAGCATTGAGTTCCCTGAGGGACTCATCTCTCGGCTGTAGAGATTCGAGTAATTGTGTGCTAGATCCGAGCCAATAAGTAGTGTAGGACATAAGCTTCCCAACGGAGGTGAGACGTGATCCGTCGTGGGGCACACCAAGAAATATTGCACCGAGCATTGATTTCTCTATAGAGTTAAATCGAGAGTCGAGGTTCTTACTGCCGGCGGTGACCAATGCCTGATTAAAAGATAATTAGAAAAGAAAACAGAGGGCTACGTGTAGTTAGTCCTTATCTGCTAGGAATGCTGCACAGTTGTTCGGTCACGAAGGGATACGTCTAGAGAGTGGTAAAGTCGAGCTCGGGCATGCGTACACTACTATGTAGTTTCTACCTTCACTCACGCACTTTTTGCCCTATGCGTGACCGATAAACTAGGCTGTATTGCTAGTGTATAGGACATAACATGAGAGAGACGAGTAGATAATAGGGAGAATTCTTTCCTATGAAGGATTATGACTACATCCTAACTGGTATATGTGCTCCACTGAGTAGGGATGGAAATTGAAGAGGTCGTACCTTCTTAATTATTATACCACCAAAGCTATGTCCAATAAATATTATCGGCCGTTCCATTTCCTATAAATATTAAGTCTCATCAAAATTAGGAGCGGTGTGACGGTCATATGAAGACTAACCTCTGCGGTCTCACGCCTGGTATTTAGGACATGTAAAAGCTGTTCTCCACAGACCCCCACTGACCTTACCGGAGCATTCATACTCCATGCAGAATTGTGATTGAAAGCCATTATACGCGCTTGGGGGAAGGACTTGGGAAGAAAGTCTCTCAACCACATGGCTCCGGTCTGCTCATGCCGCCAGGCCCAGTCGGGGTTAGAACCCAGTCCATGTGTTCCGGGCGACTCGCAAATACCCTGGATTCGCCAATGGACTGCTTGTTCCATACATCGGGGACCGGACTGGTCCATTGGCGAATGGACTGGATAAAGGGTCATGGAATTGGGTCTTTAAATTAACTCGAGAATAATCTAGACTCTACTAGAGCTCATAGGGCCCTAATAAGTAGTTGTAGAAGTCACTGAAGCTGATAGAGACCACAAGATAGCACATATCAGGCGTCAGTTGTTAATATTGAGGTCTTAAGCTCGCTAAAGATCATGGAGATGCTAATTACTTTTGTAGGTTTGGTTTTTAGGGTCGATGGTTTTTTCAGAGGTTTCTGATGGTTGTAGAGATCATTCAGGATTGATATAAATCATTATTAGTTGTGAGTGATGAACTATTTGTCCTACTAAAACCACAGTATTCCCAGGCCATTCGCGAATAGACTGGTACAGCCACAGATGTATGAGCCTAGAAGTCCATTCGCGAATACCTCAAGTCCATTCGCGAATACCTCAAGTCCATTCGCGAATACCTCAAGTCCATTCGCGAATACCTCAAGTCCATTCGCGAATTTGTCAAGTCCATTGGCGAATCCGTCAAATCCGCCAACGGCCCGGAACTCATGCACGGCAACAATACTCCCTGATGTTAGACCGGCGGGGCCTCAGTACCGAGAGAGGGATGCGGACTTACTCCACCGAAGCCTTTCCTTCATCTTCCTTTGGTTGATGGTGGATGACAATGCCCGACGAGCTCTGAGCTAACGGTTTGGACTTTATCCAGAGGATTTGTAGCGGCGAAAGAACAACTGCAAAAATGTGGAGAGAAATATATGTAAAGGCCACGACACACCAAGGTATAGATGACAACTTGAACTTTTCCAGAGACATCCCCAAGGCTGCTGTGGCGATTAGAACCCCGCCCAAAAACCTCGGCTGAGAGGGGCAGGTGACGCATAATAAGCTGCCGAATAACAAACGAGTGAGATCCCACATGTTTCTTTTTGCTCTGATAGTTTTGCTTGGCTGTAACGGTGGTCGATTTCTTGAAGGTATGAACTCTGTCAATGATGGAATCCAACATGGGGGATAAGAGTCCGTTTTAAATCACAGCATAAATGGCCATCATTATTTTACGCGGCTAATAATGTCTAATAAAGAGCTAATTAAACGATCTAGGGTTTAAAGTGATCGAACGAATAATCTACACATCATGGTCCGCCCAGTCTTAAAAGTGACATATCAGCTTTTAGGAGTAGTTACAAAGTAACTTCCAGACCAATGAGAAGTTCAACGTCCAGCTGACCCACTGCGCATTCGTAGCCGCCACAAACCACCAAAATTCTACTTAGGTTTGTCACTGCATCCTTGGCACAAAACATATATTTCAATTTCCTAAGGCTTTTCAACCAGATATGACACCCACAGTCTGTCTGATAGAACTCTCGATATCTCCCCATCACTTTCTATCAGAAAACCTTCGATATCTTGTCCGGCTATGAATTGAAATTGTGTCGCCTTTAAGACTGGCCGCTTCATACATGCATGTATGTATGACGCTGGTACTTGAAGTATTTAGACGTACATGATAGAGAGTTTTGCACTTTCTGACCAGATAAAAGCTACGCCTACAGGCTGCGGGTCCAATGAACATACGTCTAGCTAGAGCGGGTTGTCAAGCCATTTTGCAGGTAGACCTATGACCTAGCTGCTGCGCTGCCATAAAATCTGGCCTCAGTGATTTTGTTGCGGCATATTCTCTTGGTAATAGGTTAATAAAAATTGGATAAGAGCTTGTATTTTACATACCTGCTGCGAGTGCAGACGTATAGGTCTGGTAGGTACATACATGCGTGGGGGAATGCGCGGCTCGTCGTGTTCAGGACACCGGGTGCTGTTGTATGAGTAGCTGGGGCCTAGCTCCTGAAAAGCGTTTGGGGAAGGGTATACGATGTAGGTTCCACCTGTAGGTTAAGTACAAGTAGGTAGCTACATACAAAGCAGTTACCGGTGACATGGAAATATAATATAAGGTTTCATATATATGATCTCATGATAGTATATACGTAGGGGGATGTGTAGTATGGTGGCCGAGCCGGTCATGATCATCTAGCTACCTGTTCCCTCAGGCTTGCGTGATCGGCACTAGACGAGATGAGACTCGGTTCATCGTGGCCGGTTCGTCTTCGAATGTTACCACAGAGGTTTCCGTTTTATGGGAATATGTGGGCCCTCAAGAGAGGGAGAATATGGCTTTAAGGTTCGAATGAATACATGTATGTATTCATGATCATACCTATGGTGAATTGTGATAGGCGCGCAAGGTGGTAAAATATATATAAGAAAACGTAGAGAACAGAGTATAAAAATTGGTACTACATGATAGAAAATAGATTCGATCTCCCCTCCAACCTCAACATTGATAACCTTCTCCCCCAATAACTCGAGACACGAAACTTTAATTGATTCGAACACTTAATCATGGTCTAGCATAAGACGCCTCGCAATATATATCTAATTTCATATTTCAGGATGAATCAGTTAAATCCAACGATAGGTAAAAATATGAAGATTGCGGATTGAAAACGGATCACCTACCGGAATACCTTTCAAAAATCACACAGCCCTAATCTAAAAACCATCATAGAGCTCAATAGAGCTAGAGAAACTCTCCTTAATTGAAGCCGGTGAAGACCATGAAAATCTATTCTCGGGTAGAGAGGCTGGCAAGTTAGGGTTTTTAGCGACCCTCTTTGCTAGTCGAGCGTGGAATGAGCGCATCACACGTTTACCACCACCCCGCTTACAATTATCTCCCCAGTGAAATTGCATAGCCTTCTCACAGACTTTTATAGAATCTTCTGTCACTAATAACTTCTGCATTATTTCCAGACCGCAAAAGCGGTTTCCTGCCGTAGCGACCGCAAGTTTTTCTGTAATATCAACGCCCGCAGACAAAATAACCGGGATCCAAACGACTCCATGAATAATGGCAACGTAATGGCCACGGGATCCAATACAAGCTTTGTTAATTAATCCATCTTCACGCTGTCACCAAGATAATAGGTATATATAGGAAGTTTGTCATGACTAGTGAATGACTGAGGCTCGGTCCGAGATTCCGCAACATTTGGCTGCTGTTCGGTCAAAAATCCTTGATTAGATTCTGCGCCAGATACTGGTCGCGGAGTTGAAGTCATGTACTCCATATCATGGTCCCTACCATAGAAGGCAGGATGAAAGCGGAGGTGGCCGGGCCTCCTCAGTCAACCTTGATGGGGTTGGCCGACGAGTGTTCTCGGCATCCTGGCTCGACTTTCGCTTTAATCTTCTCATCGAAAATTGTCCGGTGTATTCCTGACCTTACTGTATGAATAAATAATCGGAGGAGCGAAAAGCTAAAGGGTGGTCGAAACAATACTCGACGTTTTCGAAGGTGTTACGAGCTCAGTATATGCGATTTGCGAGAGAATGAGTTAGAGAAAGAGAAAGGCTAGGAGACATACGTGCCCCAATACTACCGCCAGTGGAGTGCGCGTTAACATCAGATGGATGCATGACTGACCGAAGCTCAGCCTCACGAGAAACACTTGGTAGAATTTGAATTAGGTCTAAAAATTCGAGTTCGATGGATTTTTTTTTCTTCGCTTGTAAAGTCAATTGATATGTGACATGATTTGACTTGATTCGATAGGGAGCAGCAAATGACTCAATCACTATTTGACGAGCTTTAATTAAACCTATATATCGTTTATTCAATACCAAAGCAATAAATTACATTGATAGACTGGGTGATACATGTTTTTATCCTAAAATACCCTGTGTGGAGAATTTTAGAACACACGATTCAGTCGAGTTCTCAGAGGCATTCAAGATATTAGGAGCCGAGTACATACGAACTGGCAGTCAAGTTAAATCAAGTCAAAAAATTAATATATCAAACCATGAAGGTGTATACTAACATGGTCAAAAAAGGTAAAAACTAAATGTACGTTCATGGCATATGTTGATTGATTGATACTTATAAGTTCATGACCTACTTATATGTTGTTTAGTATAATACATTGCATAGAACTGAAAGTCTCTTCAAAGTTGCTGAATGTGCCCCCGGACCAGACATAGCCCCGACACCTTGCAATGTCCAGTCACGAAGCTTCGGGGAATCAAAATTGGGCCACCCCCAAGACTACTCTAGGCGCATCATACATGCATCGGGAAGTGCCATAATAGATATTTTGCACTCTCGGACCAGCACTTATATACAGGCTATAGCGCTAGCTGCAGGACGTGATCTGGTGAACAAATAAACAAGGAATAAAATGAGATTAGAATTCTTCTCTAGTATTAACTAATAGACCAATAACAATTGGATGAGGAATACCTACTGCGAATACCAAGACACATGCACAAAGGGATATGAATTCAGCACTTGATTCTAGTGATGTTCACAACTCCAGGTCATTTTGTTTGTAGGCCGGAGTTTTTGCTCATAATTACAGTAATCCTTGGCAGACGTATTAGGATTCTATGTACAAGTCTTGGCAGTTCATCTTGGCGATATCACATGCCAAGACCTTGAATCTAACTTCTCTTGATGCATAAGAAACTATGTACAAGTTGTTGATACTTCCATCAACGCGATATGAATAAAGTCTAATGTAATCTCATGAGAGTAGATTGATGTATGGTGCGGTGGCCATCAACTTGTACTCTCAGACTTGAGTGATGGGCGCCAGGCGAGATGCCTTGATTGATCATAGCCGGTTTTATTTTCTACTAATATAGAGGAGCTCATGTCGTTTTTAGAAGAATGTGTGGGCCCTCAAAAGTGCCTGCTATTGCGAGAATATAATCTAAGGTCTAAGTAGATTTTCATGACGGGCGTGCAATCTTGCAACAGATACAAAAATTTCTAAAGGGAGGGTCAATTAATAGGAAACGATATAGGTTTGATGAATAAGCAACACAGCTATATTTCCAGCAATACCAGGAGAGTCTGTTCTTGTTGCGATTAAGTCATTAATTTTACGCTGCCCGGATGCCTGATATGCATTACTAAGCTGTCCGGCAAGAAGAGGGTGAGAAAACCTACCAGCAGCAGAGACACACCCCATATCCCCGACTTTAACGTTTCAAAAAAGTTTACCAAATCATACCGCCCATATCCCTTGAGAAAGGAGTCGTTAAGCTCTCTAAGAGATTTTGCCCCAGGCTCTAGCGCCTCGAGGAGCTCTGTGCTTGAGCCAAGCCAATAGGTACTATAAGATACTAGTTTACCCATAAACGTGAGCCGGGAGCCATCGTGGGGTACTCCCAAGAATATTGCACCGAGCATCGACTTCTTGAGAGCTTCGTAACGCCTATCAAGATTTTTCTGACCCGCAATAACCAATGCCTAGATATCGTTAGATCCCAAGTACCCGGAGGTCTAGCTGGGAGAGACAGATACCTTTTTGATTATTATGCCGCCAAAACTATGCCCGATGAATATAATCGGGCGGTCCGTTTCCTATACGACAGGTTAGAACCCACAACCGACTTTTCCGGTAGCTCTGGAGATATCTTCAATCCTGGAACGTACCGCACGAGATGTATTCAGAGCATCAAGAAGCTGTTGACCACAGACACCCACCGACTTGACCGGGGCATTGATGTCCCACGCAGAGTTGTGATTGAAAGCCATTATACGGGCTCTAGGGCATGCCTTAGGTAGGAAGTGCTTCAGCCACATTGCTCCAGTTTCTTCGTGGGTCCAAGCCCAGTCGGGGTTCGATCCCAGCCCATGCACTGCTACGATGCTATATGATTGTCAACATACACCATCCCTTTAAAAAGCAGTCTTTCATGTTCAACCCACTCCACACTTATATCCACCTTCTGCTCTACATCTGGGTGGTGGATGAGGATGCCAGGGTTGACTTTAGACCGTGGTTTTGACCTGGGCAGGAAATACTGGAGCGGCGATAGAGCGGCCGCAACTACGTTTAAGATGATGTAGACTGTAGTGCCGATCCATCTAGATATCAGAGACAGATCAAATTCTTGCAGCGCTATCCCCAGAGTTGCCGTGAAGAACAAAACGCCAGCCAAGAACTTTGGCTGTGAGTCGCTTGCGAAGCGTAGTAGGCAGCAGCCAAGAAGCAGGAGCGTGAAGTTCCAGAGAGACATTTCGAAGGCACCACTAGCTATAGTACTGGCGGCTTATATCGGTAGCAGTAGGGAGAGCGACTTCGAACTTCTATAGCTTAGTATAGTTTGAGATTTATTGTTTGGGGGTATGGATGAATACACAAATATATCTTTCAGCCCCCTACTCACTCCCCACTCCCGAGTGACAAGGCTGTAGAAATGCCGCGCAGTGGTTACACAAAGCGAGTTAGTGGCTGCAATCACTAAGTGCACCGCCGCAGAGCCACAGCTTACCGTCTAATGTCTCATTCGACACACAACTCACCCAGCAGAGGGTCCACAGTTACTATGATGAAAGCTTCCTCCCGCAAGCTTCATTCAGTAGTTGGGCGAACTAAACCAATCCCGTGTCAGCCAGATCAGACTAGCATGGAGCTATCCCAAAGGAGTATTTCTTGGCATCGATCAGCACTGCTTGCGAGTGATATCCTGTGCGCAACTTCTACGAGACCCCGCACCGTTTTTTTTTTTTTTCAAAAAAACAAAAAGATTATTACCCCATGTACTCGCATGTAGTGCTAAATATATAGCGGGATATCAGGTAGTTATATATCCTTTCAACATCAGATATCGAATAACCACTATCCCGACCACTTCTTGACCTACTTGGATGAGAGACCAGAGAATATGCCTCCTAGATCGGCCAGGCCTCTTTAGGCCGGTGTTACAGGCGCGCATTCACCCCTCCACGTCGGTGAACAGATCTAGCACGTTGGACCTGCGAGGGAGCTACTACGAGTCTCGGTCATCAAGGCCTCTTAGTGTACACACACCGACATCATTTGAGATTTCCTTTTCTTTGATTCGGAAAAATCCCCTTTTCCCTCCTACACAAAACTAATACAACAGCCATCTTATCCGAATTAAACGACTTCGATGGATTGCAGTAGGCCATAATGCTGCATACCATCATTCCCCTCTCCTCCGAGCCATGCCCCGTCCACAGTGCCATCGTGGAGGAGCACTTGCCGCGTTTTTCTGCCTCGATGACACCGGGCTTAGCAGGTGAAAGACGAGCGAGGGGGAATCTCGTTGATCTAATCGGACACCAACCCTCAAAGGAGGAATGCATAGCCGACAGAGCCCACAAGCGGAAACCCGACATGACATATGAAAGAGGGGATAAGATACAGCAAGATTTTTATAATAGGAATAAACTAAAGCCTTCTACTAACACCGCTCATGTTGAAGTACTGCATGTTCTACATGTCTTGATCGTCGACGTCCTGCATTTCCGGAATCGTTTCCTCCAGCTGTGTGGATTCTGCCTAGGCCTCGACGGAGGTGCGAACATAATTCAGGAGTGTATAATCGAAGCAAGAATCTTGCCAGAGGGCCGTGGCACCAAAACCTAACCTTACACAGTCTGCAAATTAACGATGTTGAAACTAGAAACGAGGAGGATACAGAGTATACCTTCTAGATACTGCGTGCTGTCATATTTTCCTGCACACATCGTCCTGAAAGATCATATACGCCACCTGAACGAAGGCTCCCACGGTAGGCGCAGACAGTATGACAGAAATACCGGCATAAACCACATTATCATCCAATGAGCAATTGAGACAACGGAAGAACCACCTTTGGATAGGATAGATGAGGTGCTGAGCCACCAAGGTGAACAGCTGCCCTAGGACAAGCGAGCACATGAGCCAGGTTCGCTGGGTCACCGTGCTGTGGCCTTGGTTGTAGCCCGTCAAGAAGTAGATGAGGATGTAGGGCGCAAGCAGCAAGAAGAAGATAAGAACGTTGATCGGAATTGAATCCGTGCTCGTGATGTCGGGATACCCGCCCTCGCACGAAAGGCCATACGCATAGCCTACGGCACCGGCCACCTCCGTCTCAAGGCTCTCAAGCGCTTCTTTCTCCTCCCACGATTTCTGGCAGCCCTCGTACGGGCCGCGGTAGTAGACGAGATATCTGCTCGGATAGCTGGGCCGGCACATTGACGCGATAAGATTCAAGAACGACATGAATACATAGGGGATGACCGTCAGTGAGTAGGCGGCGTATCCGAACGCATTAATCTGCGTACCGCGCGCCTCGTAAAGCTCGTAGCACCCGTAGACGATTTGAACGATGGCTGCAAAGGTCTTGAGGATACTATAGTTTGAAGCAATCTCGTAATCGTATTGGCTCTCGTCCAGAATTGGCTGGACCTTGAAACTTGGGGGCACGGTAGCAACGATGAGGTCGTCGCGCCGCGTATGGTGCCCGATTATGCTATGCCGGCCCCTGGAGTTACTCGACGACCAATAGCTCCTGCTAAACGGATTTGAGAAACGCAGGACCGGTATTGGATGCTGCCCATGTATATTGAAGCAATCAGGTGAGAATGGCCCGAGACTATACAAAGGGTGTTTGTTAGACCTGAAAACGACGTCTTTATGTATATGTTATATGAAGTACCCTGGGTGAAGCTGGTATCCACGCCAGGTGCGGGGGGGGGGGGGGGGAGGGGGGAGTGTTATGGTGTTTGTAGCAATTGCGATATGATGTGGTGAGAAAGGATCGATATCACCTACCTCCCGAACTCCACAGACAGAGGGACAACCATACACAGAGCACGTGCCAATTTTGCCCTTTCCAGGGTGGTCTTCCCGCCGATAGCAAACTCGGAGATGTAGATAAGCGCCTTGACGGACCCGGTGTAGGGAAGCAGTCGCACATTGTAATAAACGCTCCGCTCCCAGGGTCCGTGATGTCGACGTGGAGCAGAGTACAGACGTGCTACCATCTTTTCTTTTCTCTCGGGCAGTCCCGTCCCAACAGTGGGAAAAAGGGTTATGTGCGGCTGTGGGTACGGGTCTGTACTCTAGAGCTTACCAAAGTTTGCGCTCTATGTACGTGCTCTTTTCCACTCTTCAGCAGACACTAATTAAGGCTAGACAATTCCAAGACAGGCTAGACCGTTTGGAACTGGACCGACGGCGCACAAGGTTACACGATGTAACGTATGTAGCAGAGTACCCTACCCTGCATCGGGACATTGGTTCCTGAGCACCACAGGGTTGCTTATTCGTGTGGCGTCTTGGGGTTGTCTTGCCATTGGCCACGAGGGTCACGTTTCAACCATCCGGCTCTATACATGAAGCAGTGTTGCACCCTATGTCGTAGAGTAACACACCCATACCGGTTGTGCAATTCACACCGCACCCTCAAAGCTCCCAACAGTGCCAAGCCGCCCACACTTCAGCTCTATGCTATGGCTTGCCTTGTGTTACGCGATACCTACCATGCATGTCTCATGTTGGCAGCACTCGAGTTACGACATAGCGGGACAGCCACATATAATTAAGGTTATCATCGACACAAGATAGCCCCGAGCATCGGATACTTGGCTAGCTTGGTAGCTTCGTGATATAAGAATATCTGACATCTTGCTCTACCAGAGTCAAAGAACTTGTGACACGGGGCCTCTTGTCGACGGAACGCGTGAGGTGTCTCCTAGCTCAAGATCACCATATCTCGTCGGGTGAGTAGGAGTAGTACTGCACGAATACCCGCGAAGGCGGGGGTAAATAATTTAGACTTGGTCTTTAGATGTCGTTTATCAGAGTATTCCACGCGTTTCTGACGTTGCTGTTATACCAGTTGGTTAACTACATATCTAGTTATGTCATAATATATCACTCGGGTATCGAATCATAAAATAGCACTCGCGATTCCGAGTGATGATTCATGATGTATCGTTGTCATGAATATATGGACCTTCCTTTCCGGGATCGGTATGTAGAACATACATTCGATCCATGGCATTTGATTTACATAATCGATCAGCTACTTAGCTGTTGGCTGTGGTGTTCAGACGTTCATACCCCGCTAGTCTGTGTGCGATTGTACTACATGTAGCCAGCTGAGGCCTGCGTGTGTGAATCCTGGTTTGCAGACTTCAGTGTTCTATACATGTACATTACTACCAGCTGGCTGCAGTGAACGGGTCGGTTCAGGAATGATACTTTATAATTTGTATATATGGGGAGCTAGATGTATATACATACATGTATGTAGCCACGAGAGTGATATATCGATGCATGGTATGAGTACAACAGAGAATATAATTGTAGTATAATATTGCATACATGTATACATCTATATAACCGCCCATCTAACGAGAACCTCCCTTTTAAATTCGAGCTTACATGTATGTGGCTGCTGTAACCTAGCTATAGCTACCAGCCGTCGTCGCCGTCGTCGAACGCGCCCGGGGGTGGGGGGTAATACTCTTGTGGCGGTACATATTCCTGCGCAACAGGACTTAGACTCGTATCCCCAAATACAGGTAGTTTTACCACATCCGACCACGTTTTTTTTACTGGCGTCTGCCCTGAAACATCCCTTTGCGCTGTATATGCCGGCTGTATATATTGGGGGGGGATCGGCTTAACCGCTGTGTCTTGGTGTAGTCGATCTCCTGGATCAGTTACATCGACGACTTCTGCTTTCATCCCACCGCCACCACCACCCGTTGATTCCATGCTGGGCCCAGGTTGGACTGGCTGAACTGTGCTATAGCTAGTTTGAGAGTCTCGACGGTCTTGGACTGGCTGAGTGCTATAACTAGTTTGAGAGTCTCGACGGTCTTGGACTGGCTGAGTGCTATAGCTGGTTTTAGAGTCTCGACGGTCGTTACCTTTTTTCTTCTGCCTGCTCAGATCGTATTCACTTTCCGTCTCGTGCTCTGTCCCCTTGAGTATTCTCGCCAACCTCCCCGTCCACTGCACCAACCCATCGGATTGTGTGTTGGCTGCCTTGTTTTCCGTCACAACCTCCGGCGGTGCGCCAGCTTTTTCCTTTCCCTTATTGGTCTGTATAAGCTTGGGCCGCGCATCCTTAGCTGGGCCTGCGCCTGCCTTCTTCGCGGGGGCCGGTACATGCACTGGCTTCTGGAGCCATCGTATGAAGGCGGGGGCCTGTTCACCAAGCCCTTTACAGAGTGCCAGTTCTTTCCGAAGCCTCATCCGACAAGCGCTCGCCTCGAGACTGAACGCGATGGGCATATCGAGGGAGAACATATCGGACCAGACTTGTACGTTGGTCTCATAGGAGGCTATTTCTCTGGTTGCCTTTTCGAGAAATTTACGTGCGACGCGAATCTTCTCCATCGTACGTATCTGCGAGAGAAGCGCGTTCACAGCCAGATATAGCTCCAGACCCTCGACCATCATGACAGCGACAAACTCGAGAAACATCCGACGCGATGGGAATTTGGCTTCGTGGGATTTGCAGAAATTGTAAATCTGAACGACGCCTTTTCCGGTGGGGCTTCTAAGGTGCGAGTTGTCCCTTGTAAGGCTGACTTTTTGTCTTCGGTACCAGGTCTGGATTAGGTAGGCGCTGTCCATCTCACCTACCCTCGGCCGATCTGGCGGGTTTTGGAATATTGGCATGGGTTCAAACTGGACACCGGTCCCACGCCACGCCTCTACACGCTTGGAGGTTCTGCCTTCTCGTACATAGACCAGTATCGCATCTTTTCCACTATAGTGTTTGAAGGCCCGAGTGAGAGGTTTGACAAGATCTCTTGGCTGCACTTTCAGGATGTTGCTCGTTCCGAGAGCCTGAAAGCCAAAGACCTATAAGCTGTTAGCGAGATGAAGAGAGTTGATGTCCTTGTTGAGATATATACCTTCTGTACTTTCAGCCATATCTTCTGATACCCGACTGGGATAGCGGGAGCTGTCCCGATGTTTATAAGGGAGACAACTAGAAGATGGACGCTTCGACGAGCCAAGATCCTCGAGTCACCCGATTTACTACCCTGAGTCGAGCTTTCAAGCTTGATGATCCAGTCGCAGAAGCTCGAAACCACTCGTAAAAGCATTCGTTGATAGCAACATTGCTCAATTTCAGTGCATGTCCTCAAGGATGTTGCCCATCTGGGCAAGTGGAGCTCTACCCATGATTCCGGGATAACAACGTCCGTCTTTTTCATTGAAAAAATCTGGTGATTGCCGGGGAAGTGTCAGCAGGATGAGCCACCACTATATGGAGAGCGTTGGAAAAATGGGCTTCTCTACCAGAAATGTCAACATCTCCTCGTATATTGTGATCACCGACTCGTGGTAGAACGACATGCACTGTGTGAATGTACCCATGTCGGATAACGATTGGAGTAAACTATCCATCTTCTGGGACTAGAACACATTATTGGTTTTTAGTATATTGCGTTCATCATGGCGGACAGCGTGATATGTACCAGTTTTCCCATGGACCTGCATTCGGACGAGCCTTCCCACCGGTAAAGGGAGTGGTATAGGCTCAAGGTACGGTATACGAAGTCTTGGGGTTGCTCCGGTGCCTGAGAGTAGTTCTCACTCCAGCCACCAGGACGAAACAGAGCACCCCAAAAACCCCAACTCTCGGCTTTCTCCTGGCGCTTCCAGTCCCCTCCAATGCTTTCTGATGTGTCTGTAGACGGTCGGCAAATCAAGGCTTCATTAAGGATATGCTGTTCAAGACCTGGTGCCCCGGATTAGATTCTACGCTGAAACCCGTCATGAATGGTAAATAATCTAGAATATGGCTTGACCTACCTAGGCATCTAGCAAGTTGATAGTTTCCCAAAACGGATACAAAATCGTATTTATTTCCAATATCTAAGTGCATTGTAACCTCCCAGTTCTGCAGGAAACGATCTTGAAGCCTGTCCAGGACACCCGGGATCCCCGGTGCGTGTAAAAAATCACGTGCACTGGCGATTGCCTTAGCATCTTCGAAGAAAGAAGAACGGTACGTCAATTTCGTGAATAGAATGTTTATTAGTTTATCTGCGTTGTTAGTAGGCTATCGATAGAATAGCGTTTTTAGGGAGGGCTTACCTTGCAACGTAAAGTACTCTTCACGTAGCGTAATGAAGCAAGCTATGATTGAAACGAAGCCCTATAGCTTGGATTAGTTGGGATTCCTATAGCTATGTATAACGTTCATTTGCTGTTTCCGGTTGGCGTGGGGTCTGTACTGACCTGCATGGATTTCCTGAACTGATCTCTCGAGATGGAAATGTGCGAACACTTGGACCCATGCACTTCTACTTTCTCTGGCCGGTCCCATCCGACTGAATAAGTTAATAAAGGATATTTAATCTTTGACGGAAGAGGCAAACCTTGGGTCACGCATGAATGGCAGTTCTCCAGTTCTAGAAGATTGTTCCATGGTAACAATGCTCTCTCTTGAATCAAAGAGCAGGCTGAATTTATTTGTCCCGCAAGATAATCTACTACCGCCTCTACCATTTCATCGAACTTAAACGTCTTGGCCCTTCGGGCACCCCGTAGTAAAGGTGACCACTTCAGCGTTAAATATGGCTCGCTCTTGCCCGGAATGTATATCAAACCGAGAGCGCAAAGTGTTGCTTTCGAAAGATGTTTACCTCCTGACATTACTTTCTTGACTGTTTCGTCCAGTCCCAAGATGTAATCGATTGCAACTGGGAGATCGACTAAATCAAAATCCGCTTTTAATTTCAACAAGTAGGGGATATTGATCGAAACCTATGGAAGCGATTAAATCAGTATTGTTATAAGTATAAAACAGGGCTTTAAGGTGTTTACCATGGTATCCATATAATCCCTTGTCCAATCCTCTTCGATGCTACCCCGGTCCAACTTATTACCGGTCTTAAAGTACTGACCAGCTACTGTGGCCATAACCCCCCACTGGCGACTACACTTCATTCCCCAGAAGCGCTTGTCGCAGCTTAGGTCTACACCTGTAGCGGAAGAAGTTGATATTTGGGTAAGTACTCTACCTGTTTGTGAATGGCTGAAAATATCCTTTAGTTCATCCAATTCCAATACAGAGCCGTTAGTCTCCACCCGATCAATCATTAGGTTCAATGCAGTATTCATGTCCCCTATCTTGGTAGAGTAAAAGAAGGCATCCTTGAGTCTTCCGCTGTTCAGGTAGAATTTCAAAAGCTCTACTTTATATTCGAACTCTGCAAGGAATTCTTCCTTCTCTAAATCGGAGGCGAACAAATTAAAGGTGAGCTCCCATAAATCTGATCGAATGTAAGGTGGCATTTCTTTTCGTCTCAAGAGAATATTGCATTCACGAGCGTAGGACATCCTATCCCCGTCTCCGATTTCATGCCGGTACCTTCTCTATATTAGCCTGGTAACCTAACTGAGCCAGAGGTGCATAAATTCATACCTGGACACATCCTCAACCAGCCTTTCATACAGCTTACCCCTATGGAGCGATTGAAGTGCCTTCAAAGTTTTTCTGGATTGGTGGTATTGGTCTGCTGCTTCTTCATACAATTTGGCGTTCTCAAATAAACCGGCAGCCCTCTCGTGTTTTCCCCTTGCGCAGTACAAGCCTACAATCTGTATTCAGCACTACTTCAGGGATCATGGAAATCAAAAAGGTCATCTTACGTGCCGCAGCTTCCCAGTCCCCACGTGCTTCCAGGCAACTCGCCGCTCTTTCTTTCATATTGAGCTTGAGAAAGCTATAGCTGGCGTCCTTAAAGTGTGCATAAAGCATGTGATCACCTCTTGCCCGACATTCTTTTCCTTTCTGTTCAGCAATGCAAGCGGTTGCTAGCGTGATCTTTTGCCAATCATTTGCATAGTTATAACACAGAAGTGCCTAGACGGCGTTCAACATGGCCCTCGTACCGGGGGGTATCCAGATAGAATCACTTACCTGTTCAAAGAGGCCTCGATCCATGCATTGATCGCCAGTATCGATCCATTCTCGCTCAGTCGTGATATTTGTGGGGCGAATCTCATTCATCATTAATAGAACCTAGGCAGTTTTATTAGACCATACATACTGCGAGGCTTTGCAGGAAACCTACTTCTCTGGGTTCGAAAGGCTTTATATCCACGAGTGGATGTGGTACTCTTTGTGTCAAGAGCTCTGGAATAAACCCTGGGTTACTCTCCAATATCCATAGCCGATTACGAGGACGGGTGATCGCGACGTATAGGCTCTTATAGGTCATGTTGTGAGTAAATTAAAGTCTGCTTTCTTTGTGGGGAGCTGGGTTATATGGGCGATATTTACCTTCAGTTCGGAGCACATATTCTTTCGAGCCGGTCAGCGTATGTATCCTAATTCTGACCACAACACTTGATGATCTGGACACTTACCATGTGAGCTGTCGCATACGATCGGTTGGCGCCTGGAACCAACAGTTCCTGCAGGGATTGGAATGCCTTCAAGCAGGGGCTAGATGAGAAGAAATTGTAAAGAAATACGTCGTCATATTCCATCCCTTTACTCTGGAGTACAGTGAATACAATACTCCCATCACCGAGCTTACTTTGAAGCTCAGCTTGATTTTGATGGTCTCTTATGATAATGATCTGCTGATTGCTAACTTGTTTCTCTGCACTTCCATCTTGTGGCGATTCTGTCGCTGTTTCTCCAACACCTGTCCTCTTGCTGGCCATTCGGAGAAATTCAAGGATATCCGAGCCAACTATGCCACATTAGGTAAACAGGATATTAGTTGCTAGAGGAAATCTAGGTTACGTACCAAAAATAACCGGTTTTGGTCCTGAATACTGCCCGATTTCCGGTGGTAGCTTGTCTACCATGTCCGGGAAACCTTTATACGTAGGAAATCAACATTACTCTCGTGAAGAGATCCAGGGCTAACTCACCTTTCCATAGTAGTTCCATCACAAATGACGCAAGTGATAGGATTCCCTGATGCGATCGAAAATTGCGAGACAAGGAAAAGAGCTCGGGCTTTGCCGCGGAAGGGTCTATTCTAGTGAATCGGCTCGCTGAGAAGTGATTGAAGAATAAGGCCTTCAAGTTCGCAAATCTGAAGGTTGAATCCTTGGATATGCACTGTGCGCTGTCGCCGGCTTCCCCACCACTCAAACGTCAATATCCTCACCCTGGAAGTACTTGCGACATTGATACGAACCAAAATGAATTCCCCGTGGATTTTGAACAAGATTCAGAAGCAACTGGATCTCCAGGGGCCGTTGGTCCTGCACCTCTGTATCCAAACATTAGTTTTCACATTCCCGGTGTACTAAGGGTCGACGCAGACTAAGTACCATCAACATATACCTCCTCGAACATAGACTCAAGTCTGCGTTTGAGTGAAAGATTTTCATTCATTTCTCTCATTATACTCATGACCCTATCAATGCCATCATAATCACCGTTATTCGCTTTCTTAGTCTCATAGCTCTCAAAGATTCGGTAGACAGTATCCCTATCACCCGTCTTCGCAAAGGTTGGCGCCAACCTGACACCCGTTGTCCGGTATTCCTCTTTCGAAAGTGGTTTCAAACCAGTTGAAATCGATGCGGCACCTTTGATGACTCCCATTATCTCTGCGAAAACCAAGTCCGGTTCTAGTCCACCCCTGATACCCGCAGGAAACTGTACCCAATAAGCTTCCTTGAATATTAAATAGTCCACTAAGCGTCTTGACTTCCCAGACACTCCAGCCTTGCGATCATTCCATCTGTATTGAGTTAGAAATAGAATCGGATACCGGTTTAGTTAGTTGGGGGTATACCTGATTGTATTTTCAAGGCGTCTCAGGAAATGCCCAAATGTGCAAACAAAAGGGAAATTCTCCTTCCGCAGAGAGAAGAAGTCTTCAGTTGTGTCTTCTTCCATACCGTCCCGGACTTGGAGAGAAAAATCTGCTCCGTCATCAAGGTAATTGAACCCAGCTTTCACTCGAAGAAGCTGGGTATCTATTAACAATTGAACTTCGCTTTCCAACTTTCGCGCAAGAGGTTCGGAACGAGTGAGTAGTATCTACAAATCGTATTCATAACGATCAGTAACAGCAATTGGGTGCCCTAGCGTGCGCAGCACCGCAAAGATAGGTCATGAAATAGATATGGGATTGTATACCTGACGGATTGGAGTCTCGGGCTGAGCAATATTGCGGGCCAGATATCTGCTCATCAATTTATAAATCAAACACGACGTCTTTCCCGTACCGCTTCTCCCTAGGATAAACGTCGCGTTCTTATTTTTGATTATCTCAACTTCTTTCCCAGTGACATCGAAAGGGAAGTCGGAGCGGGACTGGCCCCGGAGGATACTTTCCAGAACGTTTCCGGTGAGTGCATGAAATTTCCCTACCAAAAAGTAAAGTATTCTTTTTTTTAGCGATCAACAGGTACCGGGCACATGAGAGCTCTAATGACACCCACCTGAGATGAGCATATCCTCTGGTAATCGTTCATCTACCGGCTCCAGCTTATCCGTTTCTTCCTGATCAATGACATCAAATACCTCTGGAATCTTTATCTTTTTCTCTTCGTCGATCAAATTCTTCTTGCAGCGCTCGATCCGAGTCAGCGAAAACCCTTTCTGGGCGCGGTATACCGAATCCAGAGCATTTTGAATCTATGAATGATTAGATCTGGATTGAAGTTGGCTGAAATAAGGATCAGACGAACCTCCTTAACGTCCCCGATTCTCCAAACTGAGATTCGCATTGTCAGCTTAAACATTACCCATGGGGTTTCTACCAGGAGCTGGGAAATTCAACCTCTTACGATCTGGCTAGCTGCGTTGTGCTTCTCGTCAAATCCGACATCAACCTGCCACAGGATACGCCCGTTGCTTCCATAAAACGCCTGATACACATGAACTTTGAAGCGATGGTCTCCATGGTTTTTGGTAACCTCCCCGGCGACAGCACCTCGAACCCAATCGCCAGATGCTAGAGCTTCTAGCTTGCTTTTGATGTGAACAATGTTTCCTGTTCGGCATTTATGAGTATGAAATTCTCATTAATAAACCTCTTTAGATTTTGGAAAGAACGTACCCTCCCGCTGTGAGTGTTTAAGGTCTCTTAGTGCCTGTGTCGAAAGGGCTATCTTCCAGACTCCCAGACTACCACCAAGCAATCCCTCAAACGAATCGGAGTCGGGTCCATGTTCTTTCAATTCAAAGACAGTTTGGACAGGGGAAACAATAGCCTCCGAAGTATTTCCGTAACCGCGTGTGAAGCATAAACGGCAGGGGAAGCTTTTCAAAACAGCCTCCAGTATGGGAAAAGTCTCGTTTGTTTCGATGTGGACAATAGTATCACGTATAGCCCTCACCGAGGAAGGGATACTAATTCTAAGCTGTCCAAGCAACATAACGCACTCCTGTGAGATTCCTGGCGCAATGGCGGCGGGCGTATAAGACACTCGACGTCCCTTAACACCAAGACTTTCGTTGCTACCGGAGGCTCGTGATCCAGTGGGCAATGTTCCAACCGAGTGTTTCCTTTGAGAAACGGGTCCGGGATTGTAGGCTTGTCGAAGATAGACTTTAAGAGTGATGAGCAGGTCCCACCGCTCCATCTCGGACAAAACACGGTGATCGCTGTCACAGTTCTTTGTGAGATCCATCGAGACTTCAATCCAGTCCTGCATCGTTTCCTTGCTTGATTTGACGCAGTCAATCCAGCCTTCCATCAGCTTGTCGCTCCGTTCATCTGAGATGAGCCTTCCAAGGAGTGTTGGTGCCTTTCCAAGCCGAGCTGCAAGTTGGTCAAAGATACTTCTATCTGCGAGTGCCACATGAATCGAGAACAAGAGCTCCAACAAAGCATCGCGGGTGTGTAGGTGCTGATATCTCTGTTCTAGTAATGGAATGATGATTTTCTTGACGATATGTCCTCCCAAGAGCTTTCCTAGTTGCAAGTCGAGCTCCTCCTTTTCTCTACCACGAGCCTTGGGATTATTGTGCTGGGGAATCAGTTCAACAAACTTTGCGATGCGCAGAGCATAGACCTCGAAACCGGCGATGAACGAGCCCGAAAGCTCTCGGTTCTCGAGAAAGCCTGAGATTTGGGAGGGATTGCCTTTGAAAGAGGTATACGCGTCTTCCCATTGCTTCTTGCTCTGGTGATTATCATCGTCATTGAATATGAAAGAGATAAACCTTGTATCTCCCATTGTGATCCAGTACCGAGGTTATGACGTTTTGTATATTTCTATAACAATTCGAAGGTTATGGTGTTTAACTGTACTGTGTAGTAGAAACTATGTACATGTATGGAGAAAATATCGGACTTTTTTTTTTTAATAATTGAACAGGCATAACGGAGGGTTGCCTGAAATATACACGCGTAACGGACGGTTGCCTGAATCAAATTATAGCCATAACGCACGGTTGGCTTAAAAAGCCAGAGGTAATGATCTTCTTGCACCAGAAAGTAAGGTACCCCCACCCTCACCTCGCAACATACTTTGATCATAGGTTTCTAGTGATTATTATTCTCCCCTCTCCGGCCTTGGTCGAATTAGTGAAATTGTAAAAGACGCCGGGGATGGTTAATATTACATCCTAAGTAGACTTATAATAGGTTCGTCTGGAGTCGGCCGCGGCCAATGCTACATGTACTCATTGCTGCTCGTGCTCTTCCAATGGCTTTGGGTTAAAGGAAACCTCCAGTTCTTCCACCTTATCAATGTTCCGTCATGACACTACTAGCTACTCAAACTTAGGTTCTACCAGTTTCGATAGACTTTTGTTGTATCAGTAACCTGACCTGTTTGCGCAGTTTGAGAATCGAATCTCTTCAGTCATTCATTGTGTTTGGACTTATCAACGGGTTGTACATATGTACTACAATCATTAGTTATCCCTAGCTTGGCGTGTTTATTATTGCACCCGCGTTTCAGATCAAGCAACCAATGTTCAGCATCCACCACCCACCACATCATGCAGGGATATCCCTGAGCTTATCGATAAGCTTTGTGTTTGTGCCGCGTTGTGCCGGGCTTAACCGCGCTACCGATTTGTGCCGCCACTACCGCCGCAACCGGCCACAACTACCAGCACCGTTACCGCGAAGCTACGATGGATGTGTGTTCGAGAGTGGAAGGTAATTATAAGGGAGAGCTAGAGACCACGAGCCTCATGGTATATATATATATATATATGTGTACCGAGATTGTGTTAGCTAACGGTGGACTAGAGCTGATTTGACCTGTGGCCATGGTGTTGCTTGATAGGCATTGATATCTCAATGGCATAAATACGGTGTATTCCCCCCGTAGCTCATGATCAGTTAGTAGATCAACCCACTATCAGCCTCTCTACTCCTCGACGCCTTAAGCTACTCCACTCAGTCTATACACCACCAATCTCCCATCCTGTACTAGCAGCTCACCTCTCAGGCAGGCCCTGAAGATCTTATCACACAGTGCACCATACATCCCGCGAGAGTTCAGCCTTGAAATGCGTACCTACTCGATGTCAATCTTCCTGGTTCTCTCCATCCTGCTTTCAATGACGTCGGTCACGTTCGCGGCCCCTGCTCCCGCCCCCGCCGACTGCAATACCCAACCCCGTCACCACTTTCTAAACCAGCGCGACACGCCGTGCTATCCGCCAGTTGCGCATCATTTCTTGAACCTGGGTGCAGGTAAGCAGTAATCGAGTAGAATAGCGAAAACCCGATGTCATGGCTCGAAAGGCCGCTAGTGCTGAGCGCATTAGAACCCAACTGCCGAGTCTCGGGCTGTGTCGAACGAGGTGGGGAGGCCGGAGAGGGCGGGGTGGAAACTTTGAAGGACTGGTGTAGACATCTGGTCCTTCTTGTCTTTCATTTGATTGTATTTCTGGTGCGATTAGGCTCACGGAATGCTTGCCTTTTCGGTCAGGTACCAGGCAATTTGAGTTGTGTACATACATTGTGGGACATTTACTGGTATCATTCCTGTTTCAATATTGATCGCACTGGGTGCGGATGAATGTATTTTACCACGCATTGAACTGGAATGATTCTTGAGATGAAAATGGACTGCCCGTGTTTTGTAGCATGTCAGATCAATAACCCTAACCCTATCATTGCGGCGCAGCCTGAAGTCGTACACGGTCGATCGTGAGATTCAACTTCGTGTACCCCTATGTGCGGGGTGACCTAGAGCGCGACTTCACATCATACGATATCTAATAGCGCCATATATACCGAATGCTCGAGGAAACTTACTTTTCTTGATCATCATGTCCCGGGTTAGTATCGCGATCGACGACACCATAATCGAACGTTACAAGCTTCAGACAGAGTTCTCACCAGGTAGGAGCTCTGTAGTCCACACCACGGTTATATACAAGAGCTCCCCGGTGTCCGGTGCGCGCCGAGCTGTAGAGGTAAAGACGCCGTGGCGCGAGACAAGAGAGCTGGGCTCCGGGGGCTTTGGTGTTGTGTCCTTACAACGTACTGCCGATGGCCAGTGTAGGGCCGTAAAAAGGGTTCTTAGGGGGGGCGGAGTGAGCTCTAGGACGGAGCTCATGGCCTTGAGCATGGCACTCGATGTGAGCTTGTTTCCTGGCGACAGAGTGGGACAAGTTAACAGTTTGCTGATCCTTGCGGCAATTCTAAGCAGCATACAGACTTATTTGTTAAATTTCTTGGATGGTTTGAGGACAGGCACAACTTATACATCGCGACGGAGTTCATCATGTACGGCGATTTGAGCCGGTACATCAAAGACCCGGCAATGAAACATAATGCCCGGTACATCACGATGCAGCTCTTGGAAGGTATTCGTAGTCTGCATATGAACAATATATGCCATAGAGATCTCAAGCCCCAGGTTAGTTTCCAACCGAGTACTAATTAGCATTCAGGGATTGACCGCGCTTGACTAATTTATTGCAATCTAATTGCTACCCCACAGAATGTCTTGATGGCCTCAGTGATCCCAGTGTGGGTAAAGATAGCAGACTTTGGGTGTTCAAAGTACCACAAGGGAACAGAGCTGCGGACGAATGTTGGAACACGATGTTACATGGCGCCAGAACTCCAGGGCTTGGGGAAAGCGCGGAGGAAATACACAAACGCCATCGATATGTGGGCGTTAGGATGCATCGTCTATGAGATGTTGACATCCACACCGCTTTTCTCCCAAACGTCGACATCTACGGAGGATACAACTCCGATTACAACGATATCGGGTATCATCATCGATGAGAAACTGGTGGAGACGAAGGAACCTATTTTTGATTTTGAGCTGTTGTGGATGTTTTATCTAGGGGATGTTGCGTTTCATATCGAAAAACTTCAACAGGCACAAGCTAGCAGCAAGGCAATTGAGCTGATCAAGTCTCTTTTGCGTGTGAGTCCCGAAGAACGGCTTACAGCAGCAAGTGCTCTACGAACCCCTTGGATAATTGAAGGAAATGGGTCAATTCCCGATTTGACCATCCTCGCCTCTCATACCGAAGATCCCCTATCACAGGTGCTGCTACCGGCTTGTGAGATCTCAGAAGACAAGAAGGAGAAAGAGCATATTCCACAGCTACAACCGGAGGATTCCGGTCCAGATGACTTGATTAGGGTCGTGCTCGATGGTAATGTCAGGACACTTTCTAGGCTTTTGGCTCTTGGTTCCGATGTGGAGCAAAGAAACGATTCCGGCGAGACTGCATTATTAGCTGCGGTGCGTGCCGGAAAGCTGTCGAGCGTTGAGATTCTCATGTACCACGGCGCCAACCCGAAGGCGAATCTAAAGGATGGGAAAACTGTTCTGCAACTTGCCATAGAGGAGGGAAACATTCATATGGTTACGCTCCTATTGGACCATGGTGTTTGTATGGAGGAGGGCAACAAGGACAACTCCACAGCTCTGATAAGTGCCGCGAGCAAGAGAGATATGGGGATGGTAACGCTACTGTTAGATCGGGGGGCAAATCCTGAGGCCAAACAGAAGGATGGAGAAACTGCTCTGCTGGTTGCAGCACGAGAGGGGGATAAAAGAATAACTCAGTTACTTCTAGACCGAGGGGCGTATCTAGAAGCGAGATCCAATGATGGGAGTACCGCTCTTATACTGGCAGCTTCAAGCGGAGGCGTCGAGACGGTCAAAGTGCTGCTAGATCGCGGAGCAAATATAAACGCTAAGCAAGAACAGGGCGTGTCACCCTTACATTGTGCTATACGCTGTAACGATATTTCTACTGTCAATCTCTTACTCCGCCACGGCGCGGAAATAGAGGCACAGACGGCAGAGAACGAAACCCCGCTACACAGAGCCTCAGAGGCGGGACATGTTGATATCATGGAATCACTACTTAGGGCTGGTGCAAACCCAGAGGCGGTCCAAAGAAAACGGCTAACCTGCCTTGGGGTTGCTGTCGATAGCAATCAGGCAGCTGCAGTTGTGCACCTGCTGAGACGGGGGGCGAAAATGGAGGACGAGCGACGCGGGGTCATAAAGCCACTTTTGAAGGCTGCTAGTCGTGGATACCTAGACATCCTTATGGCGCTCGTGGAACATGGTGCAGACCTAGAGCAGGTCAACATCGGAGGTGCAAATGCTCTTCATATCGCTGCTTCTTATGGCTGGAGTGACATTGTTGATGTTCTTCTGTCGCTTGGAGTGAATATCGAATCGAGAACCACACAAGGCGCAAGTGCACTCCATCTTGCCGCCATTAGTGGCCAAACTGAAATCATCTCCAGACTTGTGGGGTCTGGAGCAACCTTGGAATCTATGCTAGACAAGCAGGGCACTGCCCTGGCCCTTTCATCATTGAATGGACATGTGAAGACGGTGGAACTTCTATTGAGTTTAGGAGCAGACCCCCACTCACCGAGCGGGGATGGTAAAACCATTCTCCACCTCGCCGCACGAAAAGGGCATACAGCCATTGTCGAACTACTGCTTGACGGAGGAGCGATGATCGATTCAAGAACGAAGGACGGCGAAACCCCCCTGGCGCTTGCAAGCTACCATGGATATCCTGAAATAGTTTCGCTGTTGATACGACGGGGTGCTTCGATCGATGTAAGGATATACGAGCAGAGCACTCCTCTTGTACTTGCGGCGAGATCTGGCCACCCTGAGGTAGTTTCAATCCTCCTGGCGCACGGGGCTGAGATCAATGCTCGTGAGAAGTGTGGTGGTAGCGCTGTTCTCATCGCTGCGCTTGAAGGACACCTCCATGTCGTTCGTATTCTACTCGATCATGGCGGCGCAGAGCTGGAGTTTGAGTTCGAGTACGAGCACGGCCTGCCCGGGCTTAACAAGACAGCTTTCCTAGGGGCTGCAGCCAAGGGGCATGTAGAGATTATGGCACTACTATTTGAGCGAGGTGCGAACAGCATGTTCAGGGACACGCAAGGCTCTAACGCCCTGATAATTGCAGCACAAAGCGGACACACTCGCGCGGTGGAGTGGCTATTGCGCAACGGCGCGGCGGCCTCACAACCGGACAATAAAGGAAATACTGCACTGATCACTGCCGCTTGTAATGGCCACACAGATACCGTAAAGCTCCTCTTAGACGCCGAGTCAGGCATAGATCAAAGAAGTTGGGCCGGAGACACTGCACTTATGTCTACGGTGGCCGGTGACCACACTGAAACAGCGGCACCCTCAGACACAATTCGGCAGGAAGGTTTGACGCAGGTCGCGGGGACACTGGTAAAGTCCACATCCAACACTTATACGTCCAGGTCAATGCTCCATCCCCGTCGTATCCTTCTATTTTCAAGAACAGGCCGGCCGTAAGTGTAAAAATATGCAACTCTTTCTCCAGAATATTTTTAAGGTATTGGTGCCCTAAGTCCCCCCCTCATGATATCACTATCCTTGCGCATGCTGATATTCGGGTGAAAGGTTGAATTGATGGTTAGCGAGCGAGGTAATTTTCCTTTTGGGCGTTGTTTGGTACATGATTAAGAGGTATATAGCTGTCATTTAATTACATGGCCTGGTTCTGTTTGGGTAAATCTCAGGCGAGGCCGGGTATATCTATATATATGTATTGTAATTAAGTTATCAGGACGATGTATTATCTATAGTTGGAAGCAAAGAGATAGAACGCCGTGATAGCGCGTATCGCTATCTTTAGTAATTACAATCCCAGGAATATATAGAGTTCCAAGGATAAGGAAGAGACTCGAAAGCTATTCAGCTTCAGGGTGCAAACATGGGAGCAGCGCACGCCCTGTCTATCTTCTCAGGGTAGTTAAATTCTGTGATCTCTTTCGAAGGCAATGGAGTCCTGAGGGCGCTCGGAAGCCCAAAATTAACACCAGCGCCAGGTAAGATTGCCGAGTGATATAGTATGACGCACTCCCGAGTTTACCCTCGGAGTGGGAGCGGATAAAATCTGCCCCCATAGGCAAATTCAAGAGTATGCCAATGGGGTGTTCTATGCGCTTATACCATGTCCATGTCATTTCATGCATGCACCATTTGCGTGATTTGCCAAGCTGTTCCTCAGATCTTAGTGTACTGGCAACGTAATATCCTGCTTTTTTGATCATTGGCCACCGCCTCGGGCCTTTCCACATTTTAGCCTGCTTCCGATATAATACTTTAGCTCTTTCATAGAATTAACAATAGTTGTAGATAAGAACACACCAATAGATCTGATTCACCTTGAATCCTCCGCGTGCTCTACTTATTCATGTAAAGAGGGTCCTTGCATTGAATACCAAGTGATTCCTCCTCCTGTATTTTTAATCCGGCCCATATACTATAGCTCTATGGCAAATCGTTCAACGGATATATCATATTTCAACTCCCTTTACACAACTTTCTGCGCATAGGATGATGCTTAAGCTATGACCGAGTGATGCCTCATGACGTACTTCCGGTACCATTCGCCTAGATATCAATGGCGGAACTCCAAGGATGATCCAATTCGCCACCGGTGACCACTACACAACTCAACTGGATAAAGTATCTGAAGGAAATCTAAGATCCTGCTTTACTTCTAAGAAATATATCCCAAACCCTCACTTCCGAGAACTCTTGGCAGCTTAGAAATGCTATCTCTGAACGATGGAATGTAAGAGAATCAGATTCGCTACCGATCTCCATTCGCATCAAAAGCAAACCCTTATCCCCTTGATTTCTACCCCACAGTTGGCTTACTTGGCGTTCCTCCTGTCTCCATATGAATTCATCGGGTATGTGAGTGTCTTCAGTAGCTAGTATTGAGTCAGCATAATCTACGATTCTAACTATTAACTATCGCTCAGTGACGACAAATAACATACCCACTTCTCCATGTCCCTCTTCTTCCTCCGATAATAAGACAACTGCACATCGAGTGTTTCTACACGAAGGGGGCCATTAGCGTAATGCATCACCAATGCTACTACGGGATTTAGGTAAGATACGTGATGTGCAATAAAGAATGCTCCTAAGATCTCTCTCTCTATCCAGCCCTTTGATGCACTTTGCAGCGTCCTTTGAGTCGCCTATCTGGCTGATCTGGAACAGAACGGCTGGTTGGGCGCAAAAGTGTTAGTGGTAGAATAAGAAGCGATGGAGCATATTCAGTGCTTATATAGCTTACCGTTCTCCGGGAACCCTTTCCGCAACAGAAATCTCCTACACTCGAGGATTTCCTCCTTGAACGTTTCTACAGGCTCCTTGTATGGCTAAAATCAATGAATACACAGATTCAATTAATAAACGACGGCCACAAACACGTGTAAACGTTTTCAGGCATATATCGAGAGACTAGGAACTCATGAAACGAATGTTCCTACCTTTCCATCTGTGATCACACTAACCAAAAGCGGTCTTGTCATATTCTTGCTTCTCACCGCGTCGTATACCATAGGATCCAGTATCTTCTTCCTCAGCATCTCGCCCAGTGGCGTCAGTCCGCCAAAGGTCACCTTCCCCATGATCTCTCGCGATTCGCTCGTCCTGCAGATATGGTTGTGTCTGCTGTCATCTCTGGCATTCATGAACCGTATGCTGATGCCTTCAGGATCGATTTTGGTAGCGATATTGACGATGCGCTTGACAACCTTTTTCATATCTTGGATTCGGCTGCCGCTGTTCATTGAGCCGCTATCATCTTGAATGGGGCGATATTGTGTCAGCGATGTTCTGTAAAGTGAGAAATACAACCCCTAGCTAGTAATCTATAGAGAAAGGAGGTTGAATTAATTGAGTGGGGCCGGGGATTACCGAGATATATCACAGTCTGGTACAGCCCGAGCGTCATAAGATCTTTGATCTGCTTAGGTCCGGAAAGGCCTTCCTGGCGTGACGATTTCTTTGCCAGCGACGCGGCTCTAGCCGCTAATTCCTTCAAACGTATCTCTCCTGGGGGGAAGAATCCATCAAGACCCGTTGTAACAATATATCCCCGCGCTATACGCTCCAGCTCTTCCGCGGATGGCGGTATCCTTCTTTTTCTGGTCTAACATGAAGAATCAGCAACCCGAGCCCACCACGGGAGGCTCCCCTGCAATACTGACCTTTAGCTTGATATACGAGCGGATGAGATTTATTATCACTGTGGGGATTTCGCTGAAATTGTACTTGTTTAAGGATCTGTGTCTGTTGTCGATGATACCAGTTGTTCCCCGAAGTGGGTCATGTGAGCTGTAGGGGTGTGGATCGCGGTGGCTGGGGATCATATACATCTTCATGTTGACGTATGAATAATTAGACTGTTCTATCGACTTCTGGATTGACGTGCTGTTTATTTGCTTCAGTAGGATATGAATCGATTTTTCTTGTGCGAATCGTGGGGGGGCGGGGAACCTTTGCTGGATAGAGGGTTGTGTGATTTTGGAAGTAGGCTTGACTAGATAACGGGTGCAGTACGCAGATATATATCTTCATTATAGAAATATTGAAGCCCTACGCCATCACATTATTGAAGGAGTACGGTATCTAAATCATTGGCCCGGCCGAGGTGCCGATCACATGACTTTGGTGGTCGTCCGCATTCAAATCACCAATATTGACATCTCGCTCACCAATATCCAATGGTATGTAGCATTTATTGCATTATTATAGGCTAAGCATACGCCTATGCCATGCAAGCTGGATCCGGGTAAGCTCGAGAGATTGTAGATAATACGAAACAAAATCATGAGGGGACTTTTCGTTGTTGCCCAACCTCGATTGTGGGGTACGTAAGTTACTGCGCGTTTTAACTTATCGATTTATTTCCAATGGCTGTCGCTCATTCATCGGCCCATTCATCCGCTTATCCTGGTAGATATGTAGATACGTACTGATCCACCTACGGCCATTCGATATGCGCATGATTACCCGCCAATGATCTGATTACTTGGAGTTGACGTGGAAGAGGCTCCGCCCTGCGCCTTGTTTGAAATTCTGCCTGCATGTTACACAACACACATGCTAGTTAATGCCGTTCTTGTCGAAGACGTCGTGGGGAATTGATAAGTGCGCACATTTACGCACAACAAGAGTAATTAATTGAGGCGAGGAACCTTTCAGGGTCTTTTCTTTCCCCTCCGGATTGTTTACTTTGAAGGAGTGGTTAACAGGTGAGGTCGGGAAACAAAGACTTGGCGCCAAGAGCCGGATGTCCGAGTGATAGAGTGTGACCGACCGCGCACACTTGCTCGAATTATTCTTCTATCAGATTCCTGATTGGGCTTGGGTGAAACTGTTTCTCGACACATTTCGTTTTGGGATATATATTCCTTATTCTCGGGATATATCCGCCTACTTTTTAAGGTTCCGACGGGCTGATCATGAGAGATAGGCGAGTTATATTGCTCAGGTCAGATACTGTAAGACAGTCTGTGCTCCAATGGCCAAAGTGTTGGATGAGAAAGGAGGGGATGATGATATGAATAGGACTACTAGGGTTTCTAGCTTTATAATTTATACGACGCGATATACTTGAGGGCGGGTTGTTACGCTACAAAGTCCTCGCTATAAGTCTACAGTTGTAGTATACGTACTGTAGGTAGCTATAGCAGTCACATATCCTGTACTACGATAGTACGTAGTAGAGCTAGTGACAGCTGTCGTGAGAGGGTGAATTAAGGATCAGATTATCAGAAGGATGAGCTGTCTCGTGCCCAGCCAAACTCCTTGGCGCCAAGGCTCGTACCTCACGCAGCTTCTTCGTAGTTAGTGCACACCCGAATATTGACCAATCAGAATCATAGAAAGTCTGGGCACGAGACAGAATGATGAGGCTACTTCTCTGTTCGATCGTTATCAGTAGAAGTGGCATCAATATTAGTAGACACTTCAATATTGGTCTTTTTTTTCTCTACCTGTCATGCCTTTTGCAAGTTTGACGTGAGAAATGTTCTCGTAGAACTGCGCGTTTTGAGTTAGGGTCACGTGCACGGTTAAGTTAGGGTCAGGGTTGAGTTAGAGCCACGGTTAGAATTACTTCGAGGTGCGGGTAGGTATCCCACGAAAAGCCCTACCTGCCAGTTTGTACTGCCTCCTGCTTACATTACCGCCCGGATATGTAAAGATATAAGCCTCCAGTAACGATTTACTGTCAAATAATGCTTAATTAAGCGCTTTTTGACGGAAAAGGGTGGTATTAGTGTTAATTTGGTATAAGGCTCTTTGCTGGGTAAGGTTGATGCAAAATAAGGCATATATATGGCTTATTTTATGAATAACTATTCAACTTAGATAATTATTATCAAATAGCTTAAGTCTTTATGCTGGATTTCCCTTATTCATCAAATAAGGCTTCTTTAAGACTTTTCGGGGGATAATGCTTATATAAGGGTTATATAAGGCTTAAAAATCGCATTATGTTGACCATATACTACTTCCAGCACCGGAATTTCAGTTCTCCCATGGCTCAGTGGGTAGCATGAGGTAGATGCTACCTGCAAGGCTCTGGGTTCAACCCCCCCTTTTCTTTTTGTCACCAAGTACATGTCCTTATTTAAAAATAGGCCTTAAAATCCAATAAGCCTTATATAATTATGATCAAAAAATAAGGCTTATATAATTATAATCCGAAATAATCCTTAAAATCCGAAATAATCCTTACTTGAGATAATACTTATTGGCCTGAGTTTACTATTGGAGACTTAAAAAATCAATAAGTATTATAAGGCACAAAACCCTTATTTAACCCTTATTTAACCCTTATATGACGCTTATTTTTTTTACCCCTTCGGGCGGTAAAGTAAGGGTCTTTATTCTCTTTTTAGAAACACAAACAATTTTGTACACGAAATCCTCACGAATCAATAAATACTGATCACGTGATGCACTTTAGGAAAGATTTACATCTCTCCACGGTTTGCACGTGCGTAATTCCGATCAAACATGCATACTGCGCTGCCGCACCCCGTTATAACTATTAGATATCAAGATCGTGAATGGCCAGTGCTGGAGAGGATTGTGTGGGACGAAGACTACTTCCGATACCGTGTATTACTTTCTGAAGGTATGCTGCGATCAAGCATTAGCATGCATAGGCACTTTACACTCGCCAGAGCCCTGCAAAATACCTCCTCTTCGACGTCTTGATCAAGAGCTCAACCGACTCGGCTCGTACTGCGCTTTATGCATTCTACGCTGCTGCACGCTCTTGTGTGCTAATAGTGGTGGGCAGGGGCAGGTAGGACAAGGCGAGACCCGCCGTTATCTCATCTCCTCTGGCATCTGGAGAGAGGTGATCTTGTCAATTGTTAAAGGGACCTAACGTAGGTATTGCAGGAGGTCTCGCGGGAATGGTCCCCTATGTTATTCCAGGGTTAGGGTTCACAACTCAAATTGACGTGCGGGCGTTGTAGGCATTAGATCTGGCGACTGGAAAATTTTGAGTTTTCGCACTTGGCAAGGTTATGGGAGTCGGCATTTGGCCATTTGTGCCCATCACTATTCCGAGCGTTTAACACAGTGCGAAATAGTAAAGCTCAGGAGTGATAGTGCTTGCCATGGAGCCTGGTGTATTCCCAAAATCCTAGCTACATGGCATTTCTTGCAACCAGGCACGCTGGCAACTGGTACACCGGGGTTGAAAGTAGTTGTGGTGTGTGACTCCCGCCGCCCCAAGTAAAGGAAAACGGTTCATGGGTATTTCAGTTGTTCAGCGTCTGATAACCCGAGTTAACTTGCTATAAATATTGCGTAAGGACCATGTCGCGCTCGCTCACGTATAGGAAAGCAGTATATACATACTCGTCCTTATACCGGGAGAGAATGGCTCGGTACCTAGCTCAATTATTGTCTCTTGGAGTATTCGGAAGGACCTATCCTAACCTCATTCTGTTTTGGTGGTGGTGGGCTATTATCAAAGTCATTGAGCAATTGGGGAATTGACACATTGTATAGGGAAATGAATTTCAGATTGCCATTACGGCGTATTCGTTCAACGTTTCACAATGCTAAGTAGTTTAGACGTTGTCCTAAACCGGCCTCTAAACTGCAACTACATGTATTAAGAGAGAGTGAAGTTTTCTCTCCTTTGCTTTTACGCATCAGTTCATACAATACATCCTTTACGTTCTCGGTTCTCCGCTAGCTCTACTTTACAAAGATCATCTCTGGAAACAAATTATACGTTCCCATCCGATAGATGAGTAGAGTCGATATGAATATATACCGTTTCTTCGGCGGTGCCTGAACCGCCGTCGCTTAACTTACCATCAATAACAAGGGACGAAAAGCTGGTGCTTCTGTGGACCACCCACGAACGCTCGAGCGAGCGACTATTGGGAATTGTAATATCTGTAGGATTTGTCTGTCGTTTTCACTATTCGGGGCTTTGCAGAAAATAGTAGAATTGGCTTGTCAGGTTGCTGCTCTCCCAACAGGCTGGCTCTGATGGGATTCTCTTTTTACGTTGATTCTTTTTCTCTGATAAAAGCCGAGGATTGCCTCAAAGGTCTAGATCTATGGGGCTATGTATATACATGTATATGCATACTGTGGCATGGTAGCTCTGGGAGATGCATGCCCTCCGCACCGCACCGCACCGAAGCACTCACCCGCCTCTGTCCCCGCCGGCCTTGCAGATCTCTCACTCTTCCCCGGACATGCATCACACACCAGAAATTACACACACACTCGCGCTCAGTCAAAGTCACAATTACACATTAAACCTTAGCATACTTGCACCGCATACAAACCGTCTCACAAAACCGTCTCCTCTTCAAGCCGCCGCCTCCACCCTCCCGGGCACCACCGACACCGACACCACCGCCGCTGCCCGCTTCGCCTTCTTCCTATCCGCCCTCACCACCAACCCCGCAATCACCGTCGTCGCGATAAAGAAGAACCTATCACACACATTCATTAGCCTCTCTTCCTTCCCCGACTTGCTCACAAAAAGGGGAAAGAAACACCCACAGCTCAATCAGCGCCACCGCAACCGTCAGTAGCCCGGACCCGCCCCCATACCCATACCCGTCCCCATACCACCCGTACCCCGCGCTCGCAACCCCAAACGCCCACAGGAAGCAGCCGATAAAGTCGATGATGGCCAGCGAGAGGGGGTGCATCTTCCCGCAGCAGTAGCAGATGAGGCAGGTGATGATGTAGATGATTGTGGTGATGCCGAGGGCGAAGAGGTAGAGGAAGAAGCTGTTTTTGTGTTTTGTTAATTCTGGGGCGCGGAGAGGGGGAAGGAGGGATGTACCCGCTGCCAAACATCGCGGAGAAGAGAGGGTTGAGGGCGGCAAAGATGAGCTGGAAGGTGCGCAGTGTGATGATGGCCGCGTGCGGCCAGCGCTCGTCTCGTCCGCGGCGGGCCATGGTGTAATGTGAGTGGGGCGGGGCGGTAAAGACTGGAGGTGTGCAAAGAGCGAGCGAGTGAAAGAGTGAGTGTGATGATGATGATGATGAGTGAACAGTAAAGTCACTCCACGGTGCGGGCGGGCGGGCGGGCGTTCTTATTACATTGCGCTGTGTGTGTTGTTGTTGTTGTTGGAATAAAGATAAAGGGGCCGGCGTGAGGGGGCCGGGGATGAGCCTTCCCTCCCTGGGCTTTGGGTGGCAAGGAGACCCGGCGAGGTGAGATTAAGCCTTACTCTAGGCGAGACGCAGCTTAGGCGTGGATCCGTTCATGTACCTGCCTTGGAAGGAGTGGAGCGCGGTGTTGTGGGGGCCAGCCCGATATATGGATATATGTAGGTATGTATGCCTGTGGGCTGTGGGTGGGGCCCGGTGCGTGTGGATGGGCCAATGATGGCCCCAATGATTGGTGCCCGGGATCTGGGCTGGCTAGCAATAGTGGGGCCCTGTGACTCATGACGTCGGGGGCGAGATGCTGGGCATTGATCAGGAGCTCTGTATGCAGAAGGGGGTTTGGCGGCATGAAGGTAAAATTAAAACAGTGGCGCTGGTGGCTTTTTCATGATGATTTGTAACGACCTACTCTAAGTGGATCACTGCCAGATCGTGCGCATAGCCAATGCAGCGTGTAGGTAGATTCTCGCTATGAGGGCGCGTCTCAGTACTAGCTACTCTAGAAGAGTGCCCCCGCTATAGGGAGGGAGAGCCACGCGATAAGGGTACGATTTCTCGTCCCTTGTACATACATATATGGTTATTTGGCTTTCGAAGTGCAAATTATCACTTGCTATAAAGCTACTTACACGCCCAATCATATAGGTATATATCCAATTGTTAGACTGTATAGGAATACATCGCCTGTAAGAATATTTGTACTCTGCAGCCCCGTGGTTTTCTGGGGGGTTTTAAGCATATCTCCTTTTGAAATGTCCTCCGGTTAGAACTTGTAACGGCGCCTGCTTGCCCTAAACTAACCCCCAACCCCTTCAAGAAGCACTGACCAGACCCAGCGAGTCGCACCAACTACAATTTTCTCAACTCTTAATCTATTTGCTCGCCCCTTGATGATCTGGTGGTTGAGAGTGAACAGGGATATCAGATGACATCTGGGAACACAGTTTAAATAATATAATAACAAGCTTGCCACAGGAAGCCCTAACCCTGAACCCAACATACTGATATCACATAGATATAGCGGGATTGTACTTTACCTGTATTGAGTCGCCTATTCTTGCAAAACATGAGCTCTGAAAGGTTTCGCACGTCTCCCCGCGCTTCACTGGGCCCGCCTTTCAGCCCACGGGCCTCCCTGTAGAGTCAATGTGGACCTCGCGTATCAGATTGCTTGCATGTCGAAACAAAGAACAAAGACTGTTGAATACAGTACAAAGGAGAAATATGTAGTAGTATGTAGGAGTACTGTGAGCGCGTGGGGGTTTATATGGCGGGTGGCAGCTGGAAAGGTATTCTCGTTTCAAATTGCAGCACCAAAAGATGGGCTGCTAGGTAGTTTTAGGAGTCATTTGTGTGGCAAAAGGTTTAAAACCAGAATGCCCTTCCAGCCGTCACCCGCTATACCGCACTCCTTAATCCCTCACAAACCGTGACCCTAATCCTGACATAGCCCTAACCCTGAACCCGAACGTATAGGGTAGTAGTACCACCTCCCTCCACACCAACATTACAAAAGCTCTCCACAAATTGAGCGTCATGAAGGAGTAATGGCAGAGTAACATAGGTGGGAAGCAACGTGGCTCACACGATTCAAAGGCCAGTTTCAGGCAGTGTGGGGGGATGTTTTCTTGTGGAGAGATATATTAGAGAGGTTTCGCAGCGTCCGACAACGGGGTTTTCGCATAGTTAGGGCGCATAAAGTCATCATATGCGCAAGTAGGTCAATTTCTTCGTTGTCGGATACCAAGCATCAGTATATCATAAGCGGATGTATCTGCTTAAGGGCTGCATCAGACAATGCAGGTTTGCGCATACCTACACCTACAAGAATTCCCAGAGCAGAGTAGTCAGTTCACTCTAGGCATACTTGGCGCATTGTCGGATGCCAAAGAGCACTTCAAGGAGCGAAACCTAACTTTTATTCTCTGCTTGTTTGTTTATTTTTGCGCATAGGTCTCGCAGCCTGTAGGCGCACCTCTTATCTGAAAACTCGCTGTGAAACCTCTCTATTGGAGGCCCCTCTTCGATGTTTTATATGCGAAAATGCGAGTTCATGATGTCAGTTCTGATGCCTTTCGGAGCGGCGCGGTTGTTATTGGGTGACGGTCTTGGACGATCTGTCGATCTTTGGAGCATAAAGTGCATGAAGTCGTGGTGTGTGAGGCCGAGTACTGAGATGCTTAAGATGCCACGGATCTGCAGACCACCGAACCACTGGCTGTACAGGAGGCAATTATAGAACCTGATAGCCCCGTTCCGCGAGTCACCCGATGACCAAGTAGTGAGCTTAATTCCTGGACCCGATTAACTCGGCGATCTCATCAAGTGTTTTGTTTGGATGGTGATGTCTTCGTGAGTATAAATTTCGACCGAAGGTTGTTCGAAGTTTTCAATCTTTTTCCCTCCACATATATTCCTGCAGCTGGAAGCCGGGCAGTGTTTGCAATGGTACAAACCTGGTATGAAAACGTCACCGTATTGTACTAATTGTACCACAAGCAACTCAAAATTGTACCAACTATTTAACTACCTCTTCCAGCATGGTTAAACCGGTAATACCATTTATCTAGATGGTATGTGGGTTAGGGTTCTTGGCGGGTGTTTCAGAGCCAAATGTTGCTCTGGAGCGGCAAAGGTTCTACCGAAGGCGGTGGAAAAACAATATTCCGATCCGTACCATTTAGTTAGTTGGTTTGTATCGGGTTAGGGTGCATCATATCTTGGCATAACCACCACCGCCTGAAGCTCAAACTGTACCAACTGTCTCATTATTATTTAGTTTTGTACTAGTTCCTACCGCCAAACCGATATCCCATTGCAAACACTGAAGCCGGGTGCCCGCTGATGTCGTTTTTGAGAGGTGTTTGTACTTGACCTATAAAGTGTCCTGAACACTCCGTGAAAGTCATGGTACTTGATGGCCGGAGTGGGAATCATATGCGAGCTTGATAGGCGATTTAACCCATTCCCCGCAATAGGCCAACTGAATAGATCGCTCTAGCTATCCGTCAATCAGGAAAGAGTGACGATGAGTGGATTGAGCGAAGTTTCGTGAGGAAATTCCTGCTTAAGATATAAACTGTATCAATTCACTTGGTAGATGTGGACGGGATGCCGATCCGGAAACACTACGTTGAAAATATCGAGCGAGTGTTAAATTCAATGGGTGAAAGTGCATTTGATGTTTCACACTAGTACTTCAGATATGTACGTATTGAACCTAACGAATCGCAGCATCAATGTCTCAGAATTCAACAGAACAAATTACCAACGGAAACCACTACAGTCAAATATCTGATAATTGTTGAGATATACCCTGCTCACCCAACTCCAATATAATTCTCTCACGCTCCGCCTGAACCATGCTCCTCGTGTTGGCCCGCCCTTCCCAAATCCTCTTGGCCACGTCCAACGATTCAGCCATGTTCCTTGTGCTAATCTGAAGTACGGAGGCAACAAAAAGCCGCAGTCTTTCCGAGGTCAATTTCCAGTGTTCGACCGCTGCGTATTGCTCGCGGGGATCAAGGTTGTCGATGTAACGGATAGCGGCGCTGAAGAGCATATCGGTGATCCCTTGAAGTCTGAGCTTCAGTTCATCAGAGGTCCGCTGAACCTTCATCTCTCGGTCCTCAATGTCCTGAAGTGAACCAATGATTTCCCATAGCGGGTCCAAGTATTCTTGAAGTACCGATTCTTGTTGTTTGATGCCATCAGAGCAGATCTGGTTGAGGTCACAGACATACGCTGGATGGGTTGGATTAAAATCATCATCATCGGGATACGGGGGGCCCCTGATATTATCGATCTGTATGCTTAGCCTGGCATGCCAAGGTAGGGAGACCGTGGGATCCGTGCAAGTTGATGATGAGGAGGGGACTTTGGACTCCTCTCCCTGGAGTGGTAGCCGGTTTATGGGCACAATCCTATGTAACTCGTAAGCACTGAGCAAAACACATTCATTTATGAGACGGACAGACATGGAGAAGAACAATTATCACACGATTAACAAAAGGCTCTACGGGTTTTGCAGGCTATCGGTTCTCGATCCAAGTTGGGGTTGACGTTCTCCCCTAGTGTAGCTGTGTGCGCGGAGGGGTGTCAATCGCAAGAGATTTATAGTCAAAGTGGAGTATCTCTTACCCCGCCCTGTACTCCTATTTGTGTGTGCACCTCACGACCGATTTGATTTATGTTTTCTGAGCCTAGTTCTCAGCCCTCCCAGGTAGGTACAGTGATTAACCCTGCACTTGGTCTGCCTGAATGATCGACATGATCGGCGCAAGTTTTAGCCAATCAAAGCAGCAATAGAAGGTACGCAAAAATTGATGCCTGAGGATCGTTAGAAGTATTTGCAGTTTCACTACTTAGAAGACACGCTCTACTCGCCAAGGTCTTAAATTACTCTGTATCAGAGAATCATATGAAATACGAAGAGTAGGTGGTCAACTGTCTTACAGGCTTTGTTCTACTTGCGTTGCATGGGCTGGGTTTCTCGATAAGATGGTCAGGTCTGATGCCAAGCTTGCACGCCTGATGAATTATATGAGACTACCCCTCCTTTCCTTTCTGAACCATCATCAGCGAGAACACTACACCTTCTGAGCCTTTCTTCCACAGTTTCCTGGTATAGACCCCCTCTCCTCCTCGTTTATTATCTTTTATCACACCCCGTTCAAAAGGCTCACTATACTCTTTACAGCGCCGGCCATGTCTGCACCTTTACCTACCGCTGAGAGAAGACGGCTCGAGGAAAAGCTTCGAGACTTGGAGGGACCGCCGACTGACGAAATTCCTCACGGAGTCGCTAATCTCTTGGCTCAACTCGCAAAGAACGTCCTACGCAGCTCCTGGAAATTATTCAAGGATTTCCTAGCTAGTGTTCAGAAGCTTGCAAGGAGACTTCGGGGCGGGCAGGATGAGCCCATCGATTATAAAGAAGAGCTGGCAAAATACTGCGCTTCGCTGAAAGAGAGCCATAACAAATGCGTGGACGAGACAGAAGAGAAGATTTCGTTGAAGATGGAAACCATGTCACAAGAGGAGCAGAGGGAATCATTGAGTATATGGAAAAGGATAACCGTAGGATTGGGAAATATCTGGGGAGGGCTAAGAGACTCGGTTTCGGAGGCGCTAGGTTCATTTATTGGAGCTGTGGATAAAGCCCGCAAGTGCATCTCCCGACTCTTCGAAACAATCGGCAGCGCATTTATCAAGACTTGGGAGTACCTGTCCATGCATTGTAGATGAATGAACGGCGTTAGATTAGCTAGCAGAGGGTTATCATTATTGTTTCCGTACCTTTTCTATTCTGTACATGTATCTTTCTCGAAATTATGGAAAGGAAGAATTGTTTTCAATTGATCAGTGAAAGGTTTACGGGCTTCACCTGAAAGATGATGAACTTGAAACTTTCATATTTCACTGGATACTCAATATTTTCCGGGTGAAATTTATGAATTAACGCCAGTTTTATAGCTTTATATAGGGCAAACCGATGTAGTGAATATTTCAGTGTACTAACGCTTAGCTTTCTAGGTGTGAAAATGGAGGTATGCGAACTGAGGTTCATTTAATAGGAAATAATGTGTGTTTATACTCACTGACTCATCGGGCTGTCACGTGTACGGGCATCCTATATCCCCGTTTTGTTCTCTTAGTCAATTAGTCAACCAAAAGACTTGACATCCAGGATTTGACATGTGCTCTGGTCTAGTGTGGTCCATGAGCCAGCCCGGCTCGAGCTTTACGAGCCTTTACTTTGGACGAGCCTGAGCCGGCTCGAGCATAGGAGGGAATAGCTCGAGCTTAGGCTCGAACCATTTGGAAAACCGAGTGATAAATCATGACCAAAAAAGTAATCAAAGACATCCGAGCACTCTGTTCAACCCCTGAACTAAATAGAGGGGGGCAAAATAAAACAGAGTGATGAGTACGAGCTATTCCTACTTTCTCTTAAAACCTGCTCGTATCTCAAAATTGATTACTTTCTGAATAACTATTCCTACCCGGCATTGAGGATACAGATAACAAACAACTATTGTTGAAGAACCTAGCGGGTAGATGGGGTATGGCTTATATTAACTAGTCTATTCTCTCTTACAAGTTACTGATGGTTCACAGAGGGGTACAAGACCGAGCTCACCATTATTCCAACCATATCTTCGTCCTATCTATATCAACGGCATTTGTTAATCAGAAATAAAGTACCTGTCATTGCAAACAACAGTCAGTCAGCCTCAAGCTCCAGCCACAGCCCAGCAGACTCTATCCCTGTCTATAGCCTAGTCAATTCATCGTTCATACCTGCGGGGTGTCAGCAGACAGAGGCCCCAACATGAGCAAGTCATGAATGATCACTCGGATACAGTACGTCACTCGGTGGGTCATACGCTATCACTCGAGTCTCATGATGAACGGAAAAATCCAGTTTTTTATTTTTTTCTTGTTCAATTCATTAATTGCATAGATGGAGAAAACCTCTTCTACTTTTTGTTTTTAATTTATTGATGGATGGAGGAAACTGGAGAAGATGTGTGGGATGGGTGAAGCTGGTACCATTCCCTGTCAAAGAAACCATATGCGTACCGAGTCGACCTGCGTAGGAACATGAAAATGCACCCCGTTTTCCATGTATCGTTGCTAGACCCTGCTGCAAATGATCCTGTCCCTGGTCAAGTTCAACCACCACCCCAACCTATTTTCATGGATCGACTAGTGGATATACGGGGTTGCGAAGGGTCGGATTAGTCAGAAAGGTTTTATTGGGTTCTACCGGGTTCTGTTGGTTGTTAATGTATGAGTCATGTTGGATTTCTTATCGTTGGGATTTTCTTAAGTATATTAAGGGGGGTTGTTCGTACTTCTTGTTCTTTTTCTTCTTCTTTCTTTACGCGACGTCTTCTGTATCTACGCTGTCTATTGTTATACAATATTATCGTTCTCTTCTTTATTCAAGAAGACCCCCGCCTCGCTTCCTCCTCGTCCCGTTGACCCTTACCAACGCTAGAAACCCTTAGGGCCCCTATTGCGAGTTCCTATACCGCCCCCTATTACACTCTTCGTACCCTGCGGAATACTCGCTACTCGCCCCCTTGAGACCCATTATTGTTGAACAGGAGGAGGAGTATGCGGTTGAAGAAATCTTGGACTCACGGGAAACAAAAAATAATAGTCAGTAATATTTTGTTAAATAGACAGGCTGTACCGACCCCACCTGAGAACCCGCCGCATATGACGACAATACCACTACCGTTGATACTTTCCATATACGTTACCCCAACAAACCTGGACCTTTGAAGGAAAAGTTAAGGTTAAGGCTCGCAGGGGCTCGCTCTTGAAGGGAGGGGCTACTTTCATGGATCGATTAGTTAATACACTGGGTTACGAGGAGTTGGATTAGTCAGAAAGTTTCTATTGGGTTCTATAGGGTTCTGTGGGTCGTAAGTGTATGAGTCACGTTCGATTTGTCATTGCTAGGATTTCCTTGAGTATATTAGGAGGTTTCGTTCTCATTTCTTGTTCTCTTTTTTTTTTTTTCTTTTACTACGCAGCGTCTTCTGTACCTATGCTGTCTATTACTATATAATATTATTTAGTATTCTTTACTCAAGAAGACCACCGCGCCGCTGCTTCCCTTATCCCGTTGATCTTTACCAATGCTAGAGTCCCTTAGGGCCTCTACTGCGGGCTCCCACACCAATCTCTACTACCCCCTTCGTACCCTGTGGAATACTCGCTATTCGTACCCTTGAAACATTCATAGGAGCATTCGCACTGCCATGAGAAAATTCGCCGTGCCGTGAGAGAATTCGTCGTACCCTGAAAGCATTCACCGTACTGTGAGAGCATTCAAGAAAACTTTGAGAGCATTGGGTAATACCTGAGCTTGCTGATGCAGAGAAAGAATGAGTCGGAACCCGTTACTCATAAGTACAAATGAGAATTCTCTAATATTATGAAACGTGATGAGCGTACTATTTCAAGAGGCAACAGAATACATGAAAACGACTGGTAACATCCAAGCCTCAGGAGGCATTGGGGGATGAGAATATACAACTAACCAAAAGTCCTCGACCCCAAACGAGGATTTAAGGCATAGTGATAGATGCCCAACGGACCCAAAAATAGCAATAGACTAGTAAGGACTAGCCTCGATACCTTTTCCACTCTATGACTTTTCCCAAAAGATTTTTATTATAGAGAGGTTTTAACGGTCGAGGGTGACGTCTAATAAGGGGGAGTAGTGTTATAGGGATTACGGAACGCTGTGCAAAGGAGAAACACAGTGAGGAAAACGAGTAACATGTTGTAATGCGAGAACGGTCAGGCAATGAAGGGATAAGTATAGAAAGGTATCGAGTAGTGGGGAAGCACATGGTCCGATCTCAAGGGGTCAGTAGCGAGTATTCCGCAGGGTACGAAGAGTGTAATAGGGGGCGGTATGGGAGCTCACAATAGGGGTACTATGGGACTCTAGCGTTGGTAAGTTTCGACGGGAAACGGAGGAAGTGAGGCGGTGGTCTTCTTAAAGGAAGAAGAGGACGATATTATATAGCAGTAAACAGCGTAGATACAGAAGACGTTGCGTAAAGAAAGAAGAAGAAAAAGAACAAAAAGTACAAACAACCCCCCTTAATATACTCAAAGAAATCCCAGCGATGACAAATCCGACATGACTCATACATTAACAATCAACAGAACCCGATAGAACCCAATAGAACCTTTCTGACTAATCCAACTCTTCGTAACCCCGTACCTCCACTAGTCCATCCATGAAATCCGACTATACTAGGATTAGGCTACTGTGACAGTACACTTACAATTAGGTTAACCCACCCGGAACAGAATAGGAGTGGAGCTTACAGCTGCAGGCAGTCCCAGTTTGGGAAGCAGGTATAGGATAATAGTATGGTACAGCTCGGTTACTGGCATTTCCAAGGTTCAAGGTTAAATGTTGGAATTAAAAAGGAGAACGGGACTATGCGGGGGCGCTTTTCTATTGGGGTTATCCTCAGGTTGATTTCATTAATCTATTATCATTATTTATTAGTACTAGAGAGCGGGCCTTGGCATAGGTTCCAACATGTAGAAATAGGAGACGGTTCTGTCTCAATTTAGTGGTATCATCAACCATCAAGCGAGCGGAATCCGGTCTACAATATTAAATCCTTTAAAAGCTATAGAACTATCGCTTAGCATTGGCATTCCCCAAACAGTACTGTTGATCGCGCCTAACAGTAGTCTTTGAGAACTAAGCCTTCTACACCCGCTCTCTACCTTTTCCAACTCATTCCGCTTTTTCGCATGTTTTTGCTGAGTACGCTCTGAAGTCTTAGATACCCGCTGATATCTGACATGAGCCCTATCAAAAACTTCAGAATTCCACTGGCTCGTCATCTCTGTTAACGCATCCTCATCAAAATCTCCTTCCTCTTCCCCTTCTGTAAACTCGCAATCCTCTTCACTTTCCCCATCTGAAGTATCCGCGTAACCTTCTCAATAGATCGCAGCAGTGTACAGATCCTCAGCAGTGCAACCGTCCTCAGCAGCACAAGGGTCCTCAGCAGCGCAAAGGCCTTGTACAACGTTCCAATACCCTTCTTCACTGTCATCATCTAACCAGTCTAGTAGTTCCTGGGGTATGTGAATGTGGTCCTCTGAGCTCCACTTCACTTTTTTGCTGCAGCGGGCTGCCTTCAGCTGTCTCGCCCTTTTTGATAAAACTGGCATACTAGATCCCTACAATTAGCATGCTATCGTTGTGAGGAAAACCGGAACAATACATTACGGAGTAGGATGAGATTGCCTAGGAGTGATGGTAGGTGATGGTGATGACGGGTGATGGGGAGTGATGGTAGCTCAGCTGCTGAGCTCTGCTGGCTCCCTTAACCCGCTTCCCGCTCCTACCCCACCTAACCCTATAACCCTAACCTAATTCTCAAACCGAATTTCGCACCCTCCATCTCAAGGTGTCCCCAACCATATAGGATTAGGACAAACGATCTTCCCTAATTTTTCGTCAACTGGATCTTATCGGTGTGTGGCTTGCTGATTGCAATGCCTCGATTTAACGTTGCTGGCCATGGCCAAGATCTACAAAAGGATCGGCAAGATAGTAATGCCTTAACAGGATATATTGCCTGTGCCTTCGCTTGGAATAAATGGCTGAGATGGCTTTCTTTTGCTGTATCTAAAGAATTGCGATTCCAAATCGAAGGTCGAGCCTCCTAGTCCAAATCTCTGCCCCACCTGTAGTCTATTTGTGTTCTTGCCACACCGTGGGAGTATCTTATGGTTGTATTTATTCTATAGAGGAGAAGCCTCATCCTCTTGAAATAGTACGCTTAGCACATTTCATAGTATTCGAAGATTCTCATTTGTCACTATGAGTCACGGGTTTTGACTCATTCTTTCTCCGGTATTTATTAGTCATGTCTTTCTATTACTTATACGGTTATGGTTTACTATGTTTTTGTGTTACCTTTGTTTAGTATAAATATGGGGTATTCCCCCCCTCTAGTTAGTCGGTACATAACGCTCAATTCATATACTTCTCTATATACATTTTCTCTAGGTTATGAGCCCGGAGACCATCTACGCTTAAAAAACACTCAAACCATTTTTACTATCAAAAGTACACTCTATCGTTTCACTTTAAAAATATGTCGAACAACAGCGTAAAAATTCCCGCTTTACCATGCAAGCTGTCTGGCCAAGGCCATTACACTGTTTGAAGGGACCTCGGTTGTCGCATGTTAAAAGTTTACGATTTGTGGAATCTAGTCAATGGTACGAGTAAGCGTCCTGCGTTCACCACTACGGTTACAGCGGCACCAACTGCAGAACAACCAGCAGAAGGTGCAGCAGCAGCAACACCAGCAGAAGAGGACAAAGAAGAAACCACAGACAACGCCGAAGAAATCAGCGAATGGAACAAGAAAGATAACCTCGCCGTCGTCTTCCTTCAATCCAACATTGAATTTGAAGTCATTCTCACGCTCACTCCGGCCGATACCGCTCACCACCTCTGAACTCAACTCGAGGACAGATTGGATCGGAAAACTGTATCTTCCCTCCACTCGCTTCTTGCCAACGTTGTAACCCTACAGTATACGCCTGATAAAGGCATCAAAGAACATCTAATCCAGTTCAATACTCTTTGGTCATCTCTCCTCACTAGAACTAGTAACTCTACGGATAAAACCAAAGACCCACTCAGTTACCACCTTCACCAACTCGCATCAGTCTCAGAAGGAAAGGCATCCTTCCTACTCCTCTCACTCCGGTATGAATCCCTTGAATCAGTCGTTGACAACCTGCAAACCAAGCCCGAACTCACCTCCGATGACGTCTATGAAAAGCTGTTGGACCTGGACTCACGACGCAACAACGATGAACAGGCGGCTGGAGAAGCCTACAACGTCAGGCGAGGAAACCCAGGACATGGAAGCAACAACAATGTCGGCAAGGCGCGGAACAACAAAAAAGACAAAAAGGATCTCACATGCACATGGTGCACCAAGAATGGTGAATATGCAAAAGGCCACACGCACAAAGACTGCCAGAAACTCAAAGCTTTCAGAGACAAAGAGAAGTCCGCTGCATCTGGCAACCTCAACGTCGCGTCCGGTACTGCATTTCACACAAAACTAGATCTCTCTTGGATTCCTGACCTCCCTGGCCTCCCCGCACTCGAAGAAGCTGATGTATTTACTATGCCGGTTTCTTTCGACTTCACAACTTTCTCAGACACCTCGAATGAAACAATGGAAGACTACTTTGGCTTCGTTGCAGGACCTTCCACATCGGACAATAAGGCATGGATCTTTGACCCTGGTGTAACTAACCACATAACCGGAACTCAGGTTATCAACCCCTCACCTTACAATAAAACAGTCACTGTTGGCGGCGGGCGAAAGCTACAGATAACCGGAATTGGAAACGTCACCATCAACGGATCACATGGCGCCATTACTCTGCAGAACGTATTTTTAATCCCAGAACTCGGCAACACCAACCTAATGTCTTGGTCATGTATTGCCAAAAAGGGATTCACAACGACAGGGACTGAAAATGGCTTTACCATTTACAAACCAAACAGCAAGGAAATCGTTGGGATGCCTAACGGAAATAGTACTGGTCTTTACATCATTGAAACCAAGAAGAACTTTGCGCACATATCTCCATCGCTACCAGCTTCTATGACTGGCACCAACGACTCGGACATCTCCCCGCTTCCTCACTCTCCCGGTTACGTAACATGGTCACCGACCCAAAGTCTCTCCCCACAACAGGTCATGTGGAAATATCCAACACATGTGAACTCGCCAAATCCACCAAATCTCATGTCACTCCTCTTACCAAACCACGATCTAAATAACCACTAGAACTAATCCACTCAGATCTGAGCGGCAAGTTTTCCACTCCTTCTCTTGTCGGTTTTAGTTACTATATTACTTTCATCGACGATTATTCCAGGTACGCTCACCTCTACTTCCTTAAAAAGAAGTCAGATACAGCAGCTGCCACACAACGGTACATCGCATACATGGAAAATCAATTGGACAAAACGGTTAAACGGTTTCGAAGCGATAATGGTGGCAAGTACATCTCCAACGACCTCCAACAATTCTTTGCCTCCAAAGGCATAAAGCATGAATTCACTGTACCGTACTCCCATGAGTCAAACGGAACAGCAGAATGCTTTTACAGAACAATAGCAACAATGGCACGATCCACCTTGCTCGACCACGATCTTCCACGGAATCTATGGGCAGAAGCGAACAACACAATGTAAACGTCAAGAATCGTCTCCCGCATAAAGCACTACCGAATATGACACCATATGAAGCACTCACCGGCAAGAAACCCTTCATTGGGCATCTCCGATCCTTCGGTGAAACAATGTTCATTCACATACCTGTCGAAGCACGACCAGCTGGAACAAAGTTGGACGCTAGGGCAATCACGGGACAATTCTGTGGTTATGGAGACTCTGATAAGATCTGCCGTGTTTATATACCATCACAAAGGAAAGTAGTTCCCTCTCGTCATTTTAGGTTTAAAGGTCTATCCGTAGGGGAAGAAATCGAAATAATGAAAACCGACATACCCCCTAAACCAAAACAAATCGAGATCAAACAAGAACCACCCTCAAGTCCACCAACACCACCTGCGAAACTCTCAGATTCCGATATCGAAGACCTGTTTAACCAACAGATGCTTCGAGAAACTATGGAACAAATTTCCAACGACGAATCTGAAGAAGAAGAAGAAGAAGAAGCCGCTCCTGAACGTACCCCATACAATGATGTTGACACAGACAGTGATTAACCGAGATGTAACCGAGTAAGGGAACGGAAACCTCCGTCAGATACGGATACAACATTCAGTATGATACCACCATTACTGAACCAACAAACTATCACCAAGCGATCAATAGTCCTGATTCCGAAAAATGGCAAAAAGCTATGGAAGTTGAACTTGACTCACTCGCTAGGAATAAGACATGGAATCTGGTTGACATACCAGATCACCGAAAATTGGTCGACTGCAAATGGGTATATAAAATCAAACTCGGGCCCGATGGCAACCCCATTCGGTACAAAGCCCGACTTGTCGCAAAAGGCTTCTCACAGGTACCTGGTCAAGACTTTAATCAGACTTATGCTCCCATCACCCGATATGAATCCATCAGACTGCTTCTTGCTCGCTGCCTTCAAACCGGCGGCCAATGCGATCAGATGGACGTTACTAGTGCTTTCCTATACGGCGAACTCCAGGAAGAAATCTACATGAAATCTCCACCTGGCTACCCTACTCCCGGCAAAGCATGCAGATTCATTAAATGTATCTACAGCCTTAAACAGTCATCTCGGGAATGGTATGCTTGTCTCTCCAAAACGCTATTTAAAATGGGATTCAAAAAGGCGGACTTCAACCCTTGTGTCTTTATTCACAAAACAGGAGAAGTTGTTATTGCCATCTACGTGGACGATATCCTTATCGTCTACTGGTCCGTTGAACGCAAAAACCGCGTCAGCCTCCAACTCCACGCAGAATTTGAAATGACGGAAACTGGAACAGTGTAAAGAATCATGGGCGAGGTAGAAGCTGAGGGGTCGAGGGACATGGTTAGGTTCCCTGACAAAAGGGACAGGCCTCGCACGAGGGCGAGGGATGGTGCGGTGGTAGGTCCGTGGGCGGGGACAGAGGTCCATACGAGGACGGATGTGACAGCGGTCGGCGGGTTAACCGAGAAGAACGAGGCGAGGAACAGGAGAGCGGCGAAGACCACAGCAGCGGATGCACAGGGCATGATGGACAGCAGATGTAACGGGGACGAAGAGTAAAGTATTTGTATTGAAGCGAAGAAAATCCCCCAAAGTAATAACCCAAAGTAGAATACAAGAAGAAGAAGAAGAAGAAACTTATATTGCTTTGAAGTACAAGACTTATCGCATGCCGACCCGACCGCCTAAAACACAAACCAAACAAAAGAACAAAGGAAAAGAAAACAACAAACGCAAACAAACAAACAAGAGCAAAAGCGAACACGAACGAACACCAAAAAATAAGGAGATTCCAGAACGACACTCAACCAGAAACAACCCAATGACAAGGAGAAATAACATATCTCAGCGAACTCGGGCGCTGGATCCATCAAAACAAAGTAAAACCAAAGTTAAAAGGTTAAAAAAGGTAAAAGGAAACCACCCTTTCCTAATCCCGTCCCTAATCATTTTCTTCCATTCCCTCTTCTAGGTGCACCTCCGCTTCCGCCGACTCGTACCACTTCGAGAGTTGAGAGTTTTTTGCAAATTGTAATATAAGGTCCGTTTTCAAGTTTGTAAACATCCAGTTTTCCCAGGTCATCGCTCCGGGGATCTTTTCTATCAGAGGGGCGCGGATTCAAGCCCACGCTGTGCATTCCATAAGTGTGTGTTTCGCTGAGTTTTCCATACCACACTGGCATGGTTCGGGGTCTGTATATACCGCGTGTTTATCGATTCGGGTAGTTTGGCACCGGATTCGAAAAACTTTTTTCGCCTCCGTTAGGGTGAGTTTCGCAATCTTTGAAGGGGGGCGGAAATCCCCCCGGTGATGGTAGTCCGGTATTGGTTGTGTATTCCATTCTTCCAACAGGTGGTCGCGTAGTAGTTTGTTTTGGTTCCACTTGTCTCTCGCATTTCCGGGGGTTTGATATGGGAGTAGGAGGGAAGCGATTCGGTGTAAACCTGTTCCTTTGATGTTTGCTTCTCTGTATGGGAGGAGCTCAATTAGGGATTCATTGTTGGGGTGGGTTGCCTCGGTGCAGAGTATTCTGGTTCCGTACTTTCTTGAGCGATATGTTAGGAGGTGTTCTAGGGGGGGTAGTCCTGCTTCTCGGAGGAGTTTAGCTCTCTTGGTCCATCGGGGTAGGCCCGTGATGATCCGGGCAGCTTCGTTGTATAGTGGTTCGAGCGATCTAATGATATGGTCTGCGCCAGTCCACCAAGCCTCGGATCCGTAGAGCAGGCTTGGAAGGAAGCCCTGTGTTATTAGGTGATGAACTGTCTTGACTGTCATCCCTGGCAGGCGGGCGGTGTTTCGGATTTGGTGGAGGGCTTTTAGGCCTTTTGCGATTGCTGCTTCGATATGGGGCCGGAAGGAGAGGGTCGGATCTATCCAGACTCCTACGTATTTCAGCCTCTCCTTGGGGTATATATTGATGTTGTTAACTTTGACTGGAAGTCGTGGTTGTTGTGTGGATGATGTGGTGGGCCGGAAGAAGATCAGATCGGATTTATCCGGGTCGTATTTAATTTGGAGTGGCTCAGCTTTAATTAATCTTTCTCTCATTCGTTCCTCCATTCTCTTGATTGTAAAGCCTGGTGTTTTGGATATTTGCACCAACGCATCATCATCAATGTAAGTTGTGTCCATCTCTTTTGGGCTGCTAGTTGGGTCCAGAATTACTCCGGCATAGATCATGAATAGTACCGGAGACATGGGGCTACCTTGCGGCACTCCGGAATCATAGGGCTGTGGTTCCTCTAGCTCATGGTTGAATTGGAACTGTAGTTTTCTGCCGGTGTTGAATTCCTTACACCATTCTGTCAGATAGTTGGGGAATTTTTGTTGGTGCATAATTTCCGCGAGGAGTAGGTGATCGACACAATTGAATGCTCCTTGGATGTCGTTGGTTAGGATCGCTGGTCTATCTCGCCGGGCGATTCCGGTACTGTTTTTTAGTAGTAGGTTTTGTTGTATTGGTGTCAAGGTTCTCAGGAGGGCATCAATCGCCGAGATGGTTGGTCTTCCTCCGAATTGGTTTGCTGAGAGTGTGCCTAGGATTTCTCCAGCGGTGCAGAGTCTCTGAGCCACTATCTTCTCCAGGATTTTGCTGAAACATTGTAAAAGGGAAATGGGCCGGTAGGCTTTTGCTTCATGGTAATTTGCTTTACCGGGTTTCGGGATCGGGATGCACTTAGCTATTTTCCATTCCGCTGGATGTACAGCGTGCCGGAGCATGGCGGAGAACATGTCTTGGATTAGAGTTGTATTTGCTTTGACTATAGCTTTAATAAAGGTATAAGGGATGCCATCCGGGCCGGTCGCCGAGTGCGCTGGGCAGGAGTCGATTGCTTTGTTAAGTTCTTCGGGGGTGACTATGTCGAAGGTGTTGCTAAGGTCAAAAGAGGGGGGTCTAATGTTCAAGGGGGGATGGTCGGGGGACGTCCGTTTCGAGGGGAAGAGTTGGGCTCTTAGAGCTTGACACTTCCCCGCAAACGTTTCGTCACCTTGTATGGTTGGTATTATTGTGTCTCGTCTCTTTCCTGCGCTTAGGATTCTCCAGACTTCACTACCTTTCGCGTCGTTCATCGTCTTTTCCCGCTGGTCCGCTTTTGCTTTCCGGATCATGGCTGTCCATTCTCTGCAAGCCTTCCGGTGTTCCTCCACGTGATTAGATTTCCTTGTGTTTCTCGCCTTCCTTTCTGCTGCATTTACCCTTGCCTTCATCTGTTTCATCTCATCTGACCACCAGGAGTTGGCTCTTACCCCCTCCTTCGAGAGTGGTGTTACTATGCTGACTGTTGACCTAACCAGTTCTAGGAAGAAATCGACAGTTTGTTCCGTATGTTCCTTGGTTTCCCATGCCTCTGCAGGGATGGAGATGTTTGACATGTGGTTCTCCAATAGCTTCCAGTCTGTTTGTCGCCACATTCGTCTTGGTACAAAAGGTGGTTTTTCCAGGTGTAAGTGGACGGAGGTTCTCCCGTGGTCTGAGCCCGCTCCGTAGGGTTCAGTACTCCATCGTAGGTTGTGGTCGAGTATTGGGCCTTTTACAAATGCCAGGTCGATGGTTGTGGGCCTTTTCCCTCTGTCTCTGGGGAAGTGCGTAAAGACGCCTGGTTCGTTCAGGAGGGTCAGTTTCTGTCGGGTTATCCATCGTTTTAACCGTGCGCCGTTGACCCGGTCTGCTCGAAGGTTGTTTCTGTACTCATGTGAATTTACTCCGTACCACATCTGATGGTGGCAGTTGAAGTCTCCCATTACTAGACAGTTATCAAGGGTTTGGATTGTACTTGCTATTTGGGCGAAGGGGCCACTTCGGCCTGGGGAGTATATGTTTAGGATTTGGGTTTTTTTGGTTTGGATTTCTACCGTAATCGATACTATGAAATTATCGTGTGTGTAGTGGTGTTTTGGTTTGAGATTGGCATGTTTGCGGACGTATGTTGCACATTTTGTATTGGTGTTGCTGGCCGTAAAAATATAAAAGAGATTTGATTCTGGTGGGTATCTCTCTGCTGAGGTCCATGGTTCTTGTAATAGTAGGAAATAAATGCTCGAGTCTGTTTCTGCTTCTTCCACCGCCGCCTTGGTAATGAGTTCGCTCCGTGCACAATTGAGTTGGTGTGCGAGCGCGGTGGTTTGAGGCCTAAGCATTATTTGTCATGGGTTGGTCATCTTCGGGAACGGGTGTGGCTCCGACTGGGGCGGTGGCTGGTACTTGAACTATCGGAAGCAACTCTTGGACGGGTGCGGCCGGTGGGTCTTGAGCGGGTGGAGCGTTTTCCTTTCCTTTGTTGAGGAATCGGCGTTTGACTCTTTCGGGGCATGCTGGATCGGAGGCCTTATGGATTCCTTTACAGTTCAGACATCTGATTGGGGTGTGGGTGCATCTATATCCTCCCTGGCATTGATTGCATGGGTGGAAGCTGGTGAGGTGATCTCCGGCACAATGACCGCATCTCCCATTGTTTTTGCATTTCTCCTGGCGGTGGCCGTACTCGAGGCACCTTGCACACTGAGTATCCGGGAAGGTTGGAAGGAAGGCCTCGATATGGCAGCTTCGGTTGAAGAGAGATAGGAATTTAACTCCTAGTGTTTCCATTGTAATTTGTCCTGGGAGCGCGATGACCATTGATGAGTGGGTTTTCTCCATTCGAGTCTCTGCTCTGGAGATCCAGCGGGGAATCTGTGCAAGTTGGAAGTTCTCTCCATAGTTGCTTCTGATTTCTGATGCTACCAATTGTCCCGCCTCGATGCCCTCCCCGACCGTTGTGGGAATTCCATGGAGGAGAAACTTTGACCATTTAGAGTTTGCGCGGATGACAGCGACCGGTACCTGTAGGGTGAGGAGGGCCTCCTCAATTTCTTTGGCATATTCCATTGCCTTTGTTGCAGGGGTGACGAACTTTGTTTCCAGGATGAAGTTGTCTTTAGGTGTTCTCCTTGCTGAAATGAAATGGCAGGATTCGTCCTGAATCCTTGCATTGACTAGGGTCCTGATCTCAGAGGGGTTGACGTCGGATGGGGCAGTGGTTTCAACAATGATCTCCCTGTTGATTTTGGTGTACTCTGGTTTGAAGATGGGGTCCGCTTTCGGCTTTGCGGACTTCTTTTTCCTCTCGACAACTTGGAAGTTTCCTTGGGCAGGACCGGGTGCCGAGGCCACGGCGGCCCAGGTGCCTGCTTTCCATCCACGGGGTGGGGCTTGTTGGGGGGGTGCGGGTGGGGGGGCCTGAGGGGCTGCCTGAGGCGCTGCTTGGGGAATTATTTGGGGGACCGCTGGAGGGGGCATTCTCTGTCCCTGCGGTTGTTGTTTTCGCTGTTGTTGCTGTTGTTGCTGTTGTTGGTTTTGTTGTGGTTGTTGCGGTTGCTGCGGTTGTGGCTGTTTGTTGAGGAGAAGATGGATCGCCGAGTGCATACTGGTGATCATAGTTGTCTGCGCCTCGATTTGGTGCCTCAGTGTATCCACTGTTCTCCGGAGTGTGGTCGTTTGCTCTTCTAGGATTTCAATCCTGTCGGTGGGTGGGCAGATTCGGCTGGTGGCATGTCTAATGGCCCAGGTAATGTAATTCAGGTCCGTCTGGGTGTGAGTGTCCTGGGGGACAATGCTCGGGTAGAGGTAGTCGACTCTCGGTTGGTAGGGGTCGTTGTAGTCGGATTCTGTTGCAAAGGTCGAGGAGAATTCTTGTTCCTGAGCTCCGGGTGGGGTTGGGTCGGGAACCTGAGTATGCCTGTTCTGCGAGGGGGCTGTCCCTTGCTGGGAAGACTGGGAAGACTGGGTAAAAAAGGACTGGAGCGAGGCTTGCTGCGACATGATTGAGTGTCCAGTTCTTCTGGTGGCGTAGAGTGATGTTTCGGATAGATTTCTTTTCCTTCCCTTCGGGAGGTCAAGACTAGAGAATTCTTCGCTAGAAGCCAGTTTCGTAGGTTTCTTTCGCTTGGAACAACAAAACGCGATCGTACGATCGGGGACGAAGTGGCTCAGCCTGGTATGGTATACCAGGGTAAACCGAGGAGAGTAAAATAAAGTGTTTTTGAAGCGAGGTTTGTTATCAGGGAGTTCTTTGCGAGCCTTAGCGAGCAAGTAGAATACAGAGGTTGCGTAAGGAAAGAGAAAGAAAGACAACAGACAATACAAGCGACTCTTTATAGCAAGGAGATGTCAACCGATTACTAATCCCACGGAACCTTCCCGACTTCCTAATAACTCATACGTTTGATATAACGATATGGTTCGTAACAAACAGCCAACTGGGCACTCGGGAGCCACTGGATCCACACTAAGACTGGCGTGATCCTATCACAGGAAGCCTATCTTAAGCGTGTACTCATCAAATACGGTATCGATGAATCTAGACTTGTGGCGACACCCATCGACAACAATGTTCACCTACAAAAGGGAACGGAAGCGGAGAAAATCAACGATCCAACAATCTATCAGTCGATAATCGGTTCATTAATGTACGCAGTAATCGGTACCAGACCAGACCTCGCCTACACCGTCACAATGCTCTCGCAATTTTCCTCCTGTCCCACTAAAGCTCATCTGGCTGCAGTCAATCGCGCCCTTCGTTACCTCAAGGGTACCCTCGATAGGTAACTCTTCTACGCAAAAACACGACCCACTGCACTCATTGGCTTCAGTGACGCAAGCTATGCTTCTGACATCGACGATCGCCGATCATTTACCGGCCACTGCTTTATGCTAGGGGAAGCTCTTATCTCCTGGCGCTCTTATAAGCAGCGCTCCGTCGCCACCTCTACTACTGAGGCAGTATATATGGCCCTTTCGGATACTAGTCGACAACTGATCTGGCTAAGGAATGCGATACATGAGTTGGAACAGAAACCGAAACTATCTTTTATTCTTCGTGGTGATAATAACGGTTCTTTGTCCTTGGTTAAAAATCCTGTCTTTCATAAAAGGTCTAAACATATTGATGTGCATTTTCATTTTGTTCGGGAACGATACGAGGATAAATTGTTTGAGTTGGAATATATCTCTACAAACGAAAATTTGGCGGATTTATTTACAAAGGGATTGGATAAGGGCAAGCATGTTTTATTTTCTTCTACTATTCACTGTGGCTCACGAGGGGAAGTGTTGAAATAGTACGCTTAGCACATTTCATAGTATTGGAGGATTCTCAATTGTCACTATCAGTCACGGTTTTTGACTCATTCTTTCTCCGGTATTTATTAGTAATGTCTTTCTATTACTTATACAGTTATGGTTTACTATGTTTTTGTGTTACTTTTCTTTAGTATAAATATGGGGTATTCCCCCCCTCTAGTTAGTCGGTACATATCGCTCAATTCATATACTTCTCTATATACATTTTCTCTACATCCTACTTACGTCGCCTATCATGACATCTGTAATTACCACGTATACATCATACATCGCTTCAACCCCCTCGGCTACAACACGGCCTCCTCAGCCTCACGCTTACCACTAGGTACACGCCTCACACCCACCGCTATAATACAATACTACCACCCATCCCCCGTACTCGCAGTCGCCATACAGGTACAGACCTTCAATTCTTCCATCTCCAGCTTGATCCTCTCTGTCTCCGCAGTCAACTTGGCCGTCTCAGCCTTCACCCTTTCGCATTCCATAGCCGCTCTCTCGAGCTCAAACTTCCTTTTTTCCCTCTGCTCTAACGCATACTCACTCGCACCCTCTGTTGTGTTACCCTCCGCGTCTACCTGAGTGCCTTCACAGGCCATTTCCATCTCTGCTCCAGCTCTGATCGAGTAGTTGCGGCTCAAAGCCTCGGCGTGTGCGATCTCCGACAGGTTGTTGGATGTGTCGGCGGCCGCCTTCAGAATGTACAGGATGCTGTTTCGTTGGTCGTCCGTCATCTTGTCCCACTTTGCGGGGTTGAGGACCTTGAGCAAGACATCGAGGTTTCGTTGGAGCAGCTCGGTGCACTCGTGGGGTGTTGGTCCCAGGGATGCCATTGTGCGGTCTTGCGCATTGTTAGAATAGCTCCATGGAGGCACCGTGGTTATTCAAAGTCTTACCAGTTATGCAGAATTGGTAGCAGTATTTCAGATGCTTCCTCTGCTTGTCGGGGGGTTCAAATCGGCTTTCCGGAGAGGATTTGGAACGGTTCGGTTCGGTGCGGGTTAGTCCCGGATCACAACCGGTTTCGCGAACTCGAAAGACCGAGGGTTGTTGAGGAGTGCTTGATGTGTGTGATATTGACGTACAAGGGAGCTCGAGTAGAATCGTAACTAGGTCTTATACAGTCTGCCATACAAGACGAGCCTGATGGTTCCTTTAAGCCATGTGTGGCGCTGGCAGTGCGTGATCATTCATACAAGGGTGGTGGTGGGATGCCTGACATGCTGCATGCTTCGGCTAACCTTGCATGACCACAGATTGGTCAATATTCCCCTGCATGAAGCGAGGCTAGTGCTTGTGCAAAGCCATATCCCCAACCACTCGTCTCCAACCGTTCTTAATCCGCCTTTGAGTGAGACATATGTACCCAGGGTAATGCACATTTTGGCCTGGCAACGCCCAATTACCCCAAATACCTATATTTTGACACAACGCAACACGCTCCCTAAATTCAAACTTCGAGTATAGGACATCTCTGTAATGCCCAAGAATACATTTAGTGTTATTTGAATGTGAAATAACCACTCTTCAGGCAAGCAGTTACTATTAGATAGCCAAAACCAGTAGTAAAAACTCAAAAAGAATCGATGACAGACCCTCCCACACATCTTTTCATTATGAAAGGAATCTGCACACTTAAATTGACCTCAAGCTAGACTTGTGTGAAGATTAATTCTCTCATGGTTGAGATATCACCAAATGTGCATCATTTTCCGACAACCTGGGTACTTGGCTCCAACTGCACCTCAGCTGTTCTTTGCCAGTACCAGTCAAGGAAACGATTCGAAGTACTACCTGGTATAAACCGTTCAATCAAAACCCTGCCACTTCAACTCTCCACTTTAAGAGAGCTCTGGTCCTATTTCGTGGTGCACCCCCGATTTTCGTTTTCTTTAATTCATTCACATTTGCAGCCTTACAGTTATGACAGTAGCTGGTCTCCCCGGCAGCCCTTTTCTATCCATAGAATGCTTATCCAGCAATGATTACTGTCTTAAGTGAATACCGAAAGAAAAAAAGCCATGTAACAAATTAAACACCCCATTTCAGAGTCAAGGAAATCCTACCCCTTGGGTATCGGTTGGGCGGCGAATAAAAAGTGAATAAGGAAAACCTACCAAGATTCTTGGAGCTGGTCGAGCATAGGAACTGATGTTTGGGTAAATTCAAGTAACGCTGTGAAGAGGACATAATACATTTCGGCCTAGGTGCCTTATACGGAGACTGAACAGGACTGGAATGAAAGCCTGACAGATTATGGCCCCGGTTGAGCATAAAAAGATACAGGGGGAGATATAACATTGAAGAAGAGTCTGCCAAATGATTGGTGCCTGTCGAGCAGAGGCCAAACATCAGCAACTGAAGGGAGGAGTGTAAAGAACACCTACCCAGAGGTTGGTGCTGGTCGAGCAGAGAGATCGAGACAGGATACCACTTTAAAGGAAGCCTACCATGAGTGGATGCCGGTCGAGCAGTGAGAGCTAAGAATTAGGAGTTAAAGGAAAGCAGAAGAAAAGCCTACCAAATATCTTGCTGCTGATCGAGTGAAGCACATTGCGATTTGGGGGACTATGGTAAAACAGCGCAAGGAAAGCCTAACAAAGATCTTGGTGCCGGTTGAGCGTGAAAACAAACTCGTGACAGGGCCAATGAGAGAGAACGGTGCGAGGAAATCCTATAATTTTAGGACTCAGGGGCCGGTGGAGCATCCGAAATCCAGATAAGAGAGTAACAAAGGCCTACCAATAGTTGGCCATTGTCGAGTAAAGGAACAATCGAAATCCTACCAGAGATGAAGCTGCCGGTCAAGGAGAAGGATAAAACAAAGCCTGCCAATAGGTGGTGCTGGTCGAGCTAAGGAATTAAGACATGAGATCGTACAAAAAGCCCACCCTCCTTGGTGCCTGTCGAGTATCAGAAACCGAGACGAGACAAGAAAGAAGGCCTACCAATCATTAGCGCCGGTCGAGAAAAAATCAATGAAGGAAAGCCCGCCAAGAACTCTAGTACCGGTCGAGCAGAAGAATAAATGACCGTTTGCTAATTGATTGGTGCCGGTAGAGGACAGCAATCGCAACATTAGATGGTAAGCCTCCCCTCTCTGGGTGCCGGTCGAGCGACTGAGTTAGTATAAGAAAGTAAAGAAAGCCTAGTCCCGGACGAGCAAGAACAAGACTGGAAGAAAAGCCTACCAGAACGCTGGTGCCGGATGGGCAGAAGAAATAAATCAAAGCCTATTAATTGACGGCGCTGGTCGTTGGTCGAGCACAAGGACTGAAACATCAGGTCATGAGAAAAGCCGACCGTTTGGGCGCCTGTCAAGCAACGGAAATATTAAAAGAAAGTAAGCAAGTCCTACCAATAAATAGTGCCCACCAAAGTTCTGCTGCCGGACGAGCAGAAATAAGACCAGAACGAAAGCCTACCAAATGGTTGATGCCGGACGAGTAAAAAGAATAAATGAAACACTGCCAAATAAATGATGCCGGTAGAGCAAAGAATTAAAGAAAGCCTACTCATGGTTTAGTGCCGGAGGAGCTAAGAATAAAGAAATAATCGATAAAAGCCTACCAAGAATAGTGGTGGCAAGCGAGCGATTTAGAGGGGACAACTGAGGAAAGCCTGCCAGCGAATCCATGCCAGTCGAGTAGGGATATCGAGACATAAGAAGGTTAGGTGGGATTGTATGAAAGCCTACGAGGGTGGTGGCGCCGGTGGGGCAGAGGAGTTGAAACATGAGCGCAAGGAAATCCTACCCTGTATTGGAGCGCCAGTGGAGCAAAGGACATCATGACAGAAGCAAAGAAGAGAAAGCCTACCTAGGCTTGGGCGCCTGCCGAGCAAAGAATCTTAGGTCTGATGAAGGGAAACAAAGGCCAACTCAGGTTTGAGTGCCGGTCGAGGAAAGACGCTTAGGGCAGGAGAGGAGAAAAAGAATCCTACCCGGGCTGGGCGCCGGTCGATCAAAAGACAATCAGAGAAGAGGAAATGGAAAGTCTACCCTGACCTGGGTGCTGGACGAGCAATGAGACAACAAAATTGGCTACCCAGTAGACTCTCGTATGGCAAGATTTATTATATGGAAATCCCCCGGCCAGATGACCATCGTTTTAAAGATCCTGTGACAGTTCCTGCGAGAAAACTAGGTTAGCAATGTTCGTCCGTGTATATTTGTTTTCCTGTTGAGTGTTAGAAATAGAAGAAGGAGCACTTACCTTTCGCGGAGGTGAGGGGGTGTAGAGGATTAGGAGGAGGAGAGGGAGAGAGGGGGGGGGAATGGCTCTATATATTCTCATTTTACGCGCTGGAAAAAGGATTTATTATGATATAGGGCTAGGGATTTGGGTTGTGACTGCGGAAAAAGAGGCTAACATTGTTGAGAAAATTCTGGAATAGAAGAGAACTCGCGAAGCTGGGACCAAACTCGTATAAATGGGGGACAAAGATTGATAATTGATCCGAACACTTCAGTCTCATCTAGAATGGAATCGAACTAAGAAGCCTAGGAGCAAACATTGACCTAGGCCACACTAGATCGGATGGCGGGCAAACCTCGAGGCAAACAGGCAAGCAGAGGACCATGCTACGTTCTTTTAGAATGTCTCTTTAGGGTGCAGATCCTACAAGAATTGATATAAAACCTTCTCCTATCGCGGGGCAGACTGCAGCAAAGAGCAAAGAATCAACGATGCATGATTCGTTCAAGCTCCAAATCCTTCCTCGTCAAACATTGTCTAGAAGAGTCTTGTCGGTGCAAGCCTAACAAAGATACAAGCAAACATGCCAATATCCAGTGATTCTACCGTACCCCAAAACCTTCCTTGGGTTTGGAACGTAAGGCACGATGCTTGATCTAGGACCCTCTCAGGGGTCGAGGCAGATTGGCAAAACGACGAACACGCGAACAGGTAAGCAATCCGCAACCCTTCAACCCTTGCCCGGGGTATTGTGGGTTGTGTTCTGATCCATTGACCAACACGTCCATTTGGTCAAGTGGGTGCCCTATCGAGCAAGATGATGGACGGGGCGACCCTTTGGCCAAATGGGCGTCTTGATGGACTTTTGATCCAATGATCAAGAGGTCGCTTCCGGCCTAGGCCCTACACAACCTCTCCCCACAAATTGATGTGCTTATGACTTCAGATGATTCGATACGTAGAAGCAAATGCTTAATAAGATATCTTTGATCCTTCAATGAGGTGGATTATCATAGTAAGAGACTTCTATCGTTTTCTTTTATATCAGGCCGCAGATTGTTTCCTATCTTATAGAGGTTCTCACTTCCAATCCATGGAAGTCGAAGGAGATCTAGAGTACAGCAAAACCTACTGTCTCGGAAATGGGGATGAAACCTCTATCGTGGGGCTACGGTATTGAGCCAAGAATACTGGTTTAAACCAGCATCGTAAGTAGAATACCACATCGACGCCGCACCAATACCGCACTCCTATAGCATCACTAGCGGAATAACTGGAATACGGCAGTGAATTTCTACCCCTTTCCGGTACTCTATGATAATTCGAACCCCGTCATAGCTATTGGAGAGATAGAATTTCGAGAGGGTGCAATTCGGATAGGTTTCTCTTTGCGTACTTGGTTAATGGTGCGCCCCATCCATCATAATATGGGCCTTCTGAAAAGATCGCCCTATCCGTCAAGCTTGACGAATTGTGCGCGCACTTGGCTAAATGGACGTCTTGGTCAATAGATCAGAACAGCTTCTTCCAGTCTAACTTTCAAGGGTTACGGGTGGTTCGGATATTTTTTGCTGAAACAAACACCATATCGCCGACATCATAACATGGGGCCGGCGTTCGTTTGGCGTTAACGGCCTGTTCTTGTTGGTCTTACGCCGTATGGATATTGAAACGTAGGTGTTTATGGAGTTCTTTCATCTTCGGGGCGAAGTCTTTAGCATTGAGGCTCGGTGGGGTCCTGACAAGCGATTTAATCGTCAGTGTAAACCGGGGATGGAAACCATAGTTCGTGAAGAATGGTGTGACCTTGGTGGATGCTGAGACCTGATTGTTGGTGGAGAATTTTGCCATAGAGAGCCATTTTACCCAATCGTCCTGCTGATAAGAGAGAGACGTATCCACGTAGGCGTTGTTCCATTACGGCATTCAGTCTTTCAGTTTGGCCATCGGTCAGCAGGTGGAAGGCTGTAACGGAGCCATTTCAACTGTCTGCTGTATGGGTACACATAGGGCCTGGTTACATGCTGAGAGTTATTGTTAGAAGCTAGTTGCATGGTGATATGCAAGTACCGGCAGTGTGGTTAGCTACCAGGTGTTAGAGTAATTACATTCCGGGCGCTAGGAAGGGGATCTATTCATGGGAGCAATGACTGACGAGTACATGCCTCACCAGTGACTAGAAGACCGGCCAGAGTGAAGCTGCTGATGCTTAGAGAAAAGCGGAGTAGCGGTGGTATTGTTTCCGGCAACAAGGAAAGGCTTCACCGGAACTTAGTAAGGAGTTAGGGGCAGAGAATAGAGGCCTTCGGAGTATAAGTACTCAGGTTCATTCTCACCCTTCAGTCCAGTTCTCTCCAGTCTTCATCAGAAAGAAAACCAAGTTCTTATCGGTATCAGAGCCCTTAAAGATTATTGAGTTCTAGCGATAGTATCTTTGAATAATCTGCAACCACATTGTCTATCTTGCATGGCTGTCTCTATTCTATCCGATTCTATTTCTCTTAGAAAGAACCCCCGTTACAGATTATCTTTAAGGCTGAAGTCACCTTCAGATTATTCTTCCTCTCCACAAAATGTCCGCCCTTCCGGCCCCCGATGCACCCCTTCAGATTGAATGGCAGCCGGTACCCCTACAGCTTGATACCACAGGGCAGACACGGCTTGTTAAGAAGCCCAAGACCGCTCTACAGACATATATTCCCGGCTGTCAGCCTGCTTGGCAGGATACCGACGAGGTATCCCTCCAACAGTTCTTCACAGAGCTACAGACCTACCTCTAGCACAGCCTGCAGAATCAGTTGACCCGGGGCAGTCAGGCCCTCCTTCTTGTACAAGAGCACCAGGCAGCACAGAATGCTCTCATGGCAGAAGCTCTAGAGTACATGAAGCTGGAGGTCAGCTCTGTTCAGGAAGAACTCCGGAGGTATGCGGAAAGAGATGAACTAAATACGGATGCCATGGAGATTGAGTGGACAAACCCGGCCACTCCCTCAAACTTTGATGCCGAGATACAGATAGCCCTTGGTGAAGGAAGACTGATGGTGGGTAGACCAGCAACTCCGGCACCAAATCCAGGCTCCAGGTCCTCTTCCAGGGCAGCCACAAGAACAATGCATCGAAAGACCAGACCTTTTGCAGCATTTCCCGTCCGATCCAATAGGAGAGTTGTCCCTATTGTGCAGCCAGTGGTGGGAGCATCTCCCTTACCTCCTAGCCATTTTAGTGGAGTACTTCCATTTCTTGAGAGAGCCGGCCCACCCATTGAATATGAAGGAGAACTCTACTCAGGTGTAGGCCGAGGACCTCCTAGCCTGTTAGCCAGGAACCCGGAAAGGTTTACCATGTCTGGGGCCGCTCAAACAGCAGCAACCTCGCCATTGGCTAGCAATCCGGCACCAGTCTCAAGGGGGTGAGTAGCGAGTATTCCGCAGGGTACGAAGAGTGTAATAGGGGGCGGTATGGGAACTCGCAATAGCGGTACTACGGGATTCTAGCGTTGGTAAGGTTCGACGGGACATGGAGGAAGCGAGGCGGTGGTATTCTTTAAAGAAAGAAGAGAACGATAATATTGTATAGCAATAAACGGCGTAGATACAGAAGACGTTGCGTAAAGAAAAAAGAAGAAGAAAAAGAACGAGAAGTACAAACAACCCCCTTAATATACTCAAGGAAATCCAGGCGATGACAAATCCAACATGACTCATACATTAACAATCAACAGAACCGGATAGAACCCAATAGAACCTTTCTGACTAATCCAACTCTTCGTAACCCGGTTCCTCCACTAGTCGATCCATGAAAACCAGTAGCACCTGTGGCCCCTTCTGCTCTGGCCGCCGCTGGCCCTCCAGCTAATGCACACGATGGAAGCAGTGGAAACCAGAACCCTCCACCTCCCACGGGCCACACTCCCGCAGATCCAGACAGTTCTGACAGCTCAGACTCAGAACCAGAAAGGCACCACAACCCTCAAAGTTCCAAGGCAAAGCGGAGCAAGTGGAGACCTTCATTCGGCAGTGTGAGAACGTGTTCTCCATTGAAAGACTATCATTTACCTCTAAGGAGGTTAAGGTCCGATATGCAGGTAACTTGATGGAAGGAGAGGCAGCGATCCGATGGTATGAAGCATACCACAATTTAATTGATCAAACCTCCGCCAACCGTCTTGCTGGAATGCCGGTGATGTTGGATCAGAGATGGAAGCGCTGGGATTGCTTTGTGGATGCTTTTAGAGCAGCCTTCGGTGAAGCCATCTCCAGAGATGATGCTGTAGCCCATTGGAATACTCTTACCCAGACGGCTTGAGGAGGAATTGATCTCCTCCTGAATACTATTATTCAGCTGATGTGGAAGACTGGCTATGAGGGTCAGTTGGTGGATGATAAGATCAACAATTCCCTCCTTCCGGACCTAGGCATGAGTTGGGCTCTTTTCAATCCCAAACCAAAGTCCTTGATGGAGCGGATAGCTGCTCTAAGAGAGTTAGGGCACACCTATGAGAGGTACCAAAGGTTGGCAGCTGAGAAAGCGCCCCCTCGGACCAAAAAAGATCCTTCCGCTCAGAAGGACTAACAGCCTAAGAGGAAAAGAGAAGCTGCGAGCTCCTCCGGACCCTAGAAAGCTCCTGGACCTAAGGACAAAGTGGTGGAACTGAAGGGTATCCCGGGGGATATTCTAGAAGAAAGAAGAAAAGCAGAAGTATGCTTAAAGGTATGACCTTTTGGTACTCCCTATTGGTAGAGTACATAGACTGACTTGTGCAATAGTGTGGCAAGTCCAGACACAAACAGACCGATTGTTGGTCAAAGGAACCTACTGTTGTCCGAGTGGCAGCAGTGAGAGTACAAAAGCGGAAAAGAGGGAATGGCAAGTCCAACCCTCAGAAGAAGGCTAAAGTGGCTGCTGTAGTAGCAGAGGATCCACTTGTTGTACTCCCGGAGGTTATAGAAGATTTTGTATTTCAGCCTGAGCAAGACTCGGACAATGAAATCATCTGGTAGAAAATTGTCTGTTTTGAGTCTATGTTTACTGGTTTTCATTTATATCGGTTTCTCAGTTTCTATGCTTCTCTTGAATAAATTATGATTGTGTTTCTGCCTATTTGATTGCTCCAAGCACTCTGAGGATGGGTTTAAGACCTGAAACAGCTGCTCTGTCAGTGCTCTACCAAAGTTACATTTGCTACTAAGACACTTCCAAAACCGCGGCCAAAAACTACTACACATCATACCTGCTATATTTTCACTTGGGAATAGAATTAAAGGATCTTTGATCTTAGTAGTGCCCGAAGCTATTAGCTCTGTTGAAAAGACAAAGAGAAACAAGTTCAGAACCCGCTGTTAAGCAAAGAAGTTTGGAACAGAGGCTTCCCTCCTTACCAGTACATGGAAAAAGACCTATACTGAAGGCAGGACTGTCATGGACGGTCAAAGGAAAGGATGAAAGCGCCCAAGGGTCTTTCCTGTTTGACACCGGTTGTACAGGAGCTATTCTCAACCAGAGTTTTGTCAGGAAACATGGAATTCCTTTAGTGCGGCAGGATCAACCTCTGACAATGTTTGATGCTCAAGGAGATTTCATTATGGGAGGAGGCGAGTATTACACTCATCCGGTCCGCATGACTATGGGAGATCATAAGGAGATACTCCGATGGGAGGTGGCTACATTGGAAGAAGGAATGACCGGTTACCTACCAATTAGTTGGGCTAGGAAGCATAACCTGGACATCAACTGGGAACTCAACACCATGAGCTGGAGGAGTGACTACTGCAAGCAGAATTGTCTCCCAGCGGCCACCAAGATTGAACTGATCTCTCCATACCAGATGCTGGAAGAAGAAGAGACAGTCTATCAATTGGTTGCTTCAGTATGGCATGATGAGGACGGAGGTGATATTGCTGAGAAAATACACCACCTATACCGTGAATGGGCTGATGTGTTCAGTCAATAGAAGATTGGGGAAATGCAGCCGCACTCCCACAATGATTTGAAAATCAAACTCTTGCCTGGTACCGCTCCCCCATTCGGCCCTCTGTACCCATGTTCCGCTCCAGAGTTGAAGGCCCTCCGACAGTACCTGGACAAAGAATTGTATTCAGGAAAGATCTATAGATCTAACAGCCCTGCTGCGGCGCCCATATTGTTCATTCCTAAGAAGGATGGTACATTGCGGATTTGTGTGGATTACAGAAGTGTGAACAAGGTCACTGTCAAGGACAAGTACCCGCTGCCTATCATGAGTGAGCTCAGAGACAGGTTGTTGAAGGCCAAGATCTTCACAAAGATCGACCTGAAGAACGGCTTCAATTTGATCAGGATAGCCGAAGGTGATGAGTGGAAAACCGCTTTCAGAACCCGCTATAGAGTGTATCAGTATAATATGATGCCGTTTGGACTATGCAATGCTCCCTCCGCCTTCCAGGCAATGATCAATGATGTGCTAAAGGAATTACTGGATGAAGGATTGGTTGTCTATATTGATGACATCCTCATCTACTCGGAGACTGAGAAAGAGCATGAGCTACTGGTCAAGAAGGTCTTACAGAAGCTAAGGGAAGCTAAGCTCTGTGCCTCCGTCAGTAAGACATCGTTCCATGTCCGAGAAGTAGAGTACCTAGGCTATCACATCTCGGAGAAGGGAGTATCTATATCAGAAGACAAGGTGGAGGCAGTTAAGGAATGGCCAGTCCCTGAGAATATCAAGGTGGTACAGGCATTCCTCGGATTTGCAAACTTCTATCACCGCTTCATTGAAGGCTTCAGTAAAGTTTGCAAACCATTAACTGACCTCTTGCAGAAAGACAAGAAATGGTATTGGACGGCAGCACATGAACAAGCCTTTGAAGAACTCAAGAGGCTGTTCACAAGCGCTCCGATCCTCCTTCATTTTGACCCCAGTAGGAGAACTGTGGTCGAAACAGATGCCAGTGATTTCGCCAAGGGAGCGGTGCTCTCTCAGTATGGGGACGATAGGAAGCTACATCCGGTGGCGTTCTATTCTAAGAGGTTCTCCCCTGCTGAAATCAACTATGATATTCATGATAAGGAAATGGGAGCTATTGTAGCCTCTTTCCGAGAATGGGAACACATGCTCAAATCTTGTGAGCAGGCGATCACGGTTTTTACAGACCACAAGAACTTGGAGTATTTTAATTCTACCAAGGTTTTTACTAGGCGGCAAGCTAGATGGTCTGAAAACCTCGCAGGCTACAATTTCAAAGTTGTCTACAGACCGGGAGAAAAGAATGGCAAGACTGATGTACTATCTAGGCGTTGGGATCACCGCCTTGGAGAGGGACGTGAAGCTCTGCAGCCGGAGCCACAGATATTTTTTAGGCCAGGTCAATTGGTTTTGGATCCTGCAAAGCTAGCGGCTGTCAGGGTGAATCAATTGCAGAATACATTCTTAGAGCGCCTATATGCGGCTGCTAAAGAGGATAATTTCTGGCAGGAACTGCACCGCTCCCTGGTTGAAAGGAAACCAAATTTGGACCAGAACTTGTCGGCCAAGAACGGTCTCATCTTCTACAAGAATAGATGATATATACCCAAAGACAAGAAGCTTCAGATGGAAATTGTTACGGGCATGCCAAGCATTTACGGAGGTAAGAAGAAAAGCTAGTAGATACCCCGATACCCTCTGATACTAATGGCAACACCACTATCAACTCCGGTTCGCAACCACAAGGTGCGGTGCGATCAAATATGCGATCAAATGCGGAGTTGCGGTTTTCGTAGTTAAAAAACACGTTTTCGACCCCAATAATAACCCCCGGAGCGTCAAACCGCCGGAGGGCAGTGCTTTTGGACCGGGGGATATATGAGGGACAGCTGGAATCAATCGGATCGAAGATTGGACTACGTGGAGCGAATCGGCGCAAGCTACCAGCTGACCGAGTACCTATCGGCGGTACCTGTGGGCGTGAGAGCACTCTGCTATGTGGGAAAGGGATGTGGGAAGAGGCCTTGCCGTCCGAGACCTCCGAACAGCCGACGCTCAGGATTATCCACCAGACGGCCGATGGAGAAGAAACATCGACAGGGAAACGTGCATTAGAATGGATAAATAGGTTGAGGGGTTTCAGCGGAGTTAGGAGTCTGGGTTACGGACTTAGGGGCTAGTTAGGGTTAGTTAGGGTTAGTTAGGGTTAGTTAGGGTTAGTTAGGGTTAGTTAGGGTTAGTTAGGGTTAGTTAGGGTTAGTTAGGGTTAGTTAGGGTTAGTTAGG